GGGTAATAATAGGTCCGGCAAGGAAGCCTCTGTTTGCTTGGGTTCTGAGCAGCTGGCCCCGTGAAGGTGCCCCAGCACAGTACACAGCAGAGAGATGGCTGTTGATGGCTGGCTGCTTCCTTTCTGAGCTGGGGGCCGGAGAGTCAGCCTCAGAGACTGGCGCCCTTGGGCTGCTGGTCCTTCCTGACCGGCCTGGCCACTCCTGTCAGCCCTTCGTAAATTCAGGCTTACTTCTTTTTTTTTTTTTTAATGATTTATTTATTTATTTGCGAGAGAGAAAGAGGGAGCACGAACAGGGGGAGAGACAGAGGGAGAAGCAGGCTCCCCACTGAGCAGGGAGTCCTACGTGGGGCTCGATCCCAGGACCCTGGGTTCATGACCTGAGCTGAAGGCAGATGCCTAACCGACTGAGCCACTGAGGCGCCCCTTCAGCTTTACTTCTTATTCAAGTTCTGTTGGTCTGTTTTTAATCTGCCAGCATATCAGAAGACACCCAAAATGCTCAGTGTCCCACCATGGAAAAGAAAGTAAAGCCTGAACTACGCGGCAGTGTGCAAGGAGAGAGAGTTCGTTAGGAGAAGGCCGCTTCTGGGACCCTGGGTGGATCAGCCTTCCCATTGGCAGGTGTTCCTGGCACCCGTGAAGCGCCTGGCGGGTAGAGGGAAGAGTGCCGGCAGACCTCGCACTGCCTCGGAGGGCACCGAGTGGTTTTACAGGCACGAGCACGCGGCCGAGCAGGGAAGGAGCGCTGTGGGAACACGTGACCAGGTGGCGTGGTGGGTTTGTTTTTAAACAGCAGCTTTTTCTGAGATGTAATTTATGTAATGTAAATTCACCCTTTTAAAGTGTGTACTTAGTGGTTTTCAGTGTATTCACAGAGTTATTTGACTGTTACCACGATCTAATTTTAGAATATTTTCTTCGCCCCCAGGAGAAACCTGGTCCCCGTTAGCGTCCCTCCCCATTCCCCCGGCCCCTGCGCCCCCGCCTGCTTCCTGTCGCTGCAGATGGGCCTGCTGAACAGAGTCACAGGCCACGTGGCCCTTCACGTCTGGCTTCTTTCTCTGAGCCTCAGGCCTTTAGGGTTCGTCCACGCTGTGACAAGTGTCTGTGCTTCATTCCCTTATGTGACCAAATAGGATCCCATTGTGTGGCCAGACCATCATCTGTTGGTGGCCAGAACATCAGCTGTTGGTGGACCTTTGAGTTGTTTTTACCTCTTGGCCATTGGGAATGGTGCTGCTGTGAGTAATCATGTACAAGTTTTTGTTTGAACACCTGTTTCAGTTCTTTTGGGTCTGTACCCAGGCCTGGAATGGACATTCCGCACCTTTTGTCCCGTTTGCTTTGACATTTGTGTGCATGCTTGTCCTCAGTCGGCGTCTTTCTGTGGATATCCCCCAGCCATGAATACTGAATTGTGTGTTTTCTTAGAAGAAGAGAATTATCTCATGTACCACGGGACCGTTCTCAGCACCAAGCAATTCCTCCTGTCCCTTGGCCCCATAGCAATACCCTTGCAGCATTTCCTTGCAGAACGTCCTGTTGAGGGTCACATGCTGCCTTGAGTTGCTTTATCTCTTTACCCTCTCTTAGTTTGGCACACTCCCTCTGCCCTTCTTTGTCTCTTTGACGTGACGTTTTGGATCATTACCCCATCCGCATTTTGGATTTTCTGATACTTCCTCCTGTCCAGGTTGAGGTCACAATCCCAGATAGGACATGGAGACGTCGTGCACTATTTAGGTCCACATCTGGACCGCCTTTGCCCGTTGGGTTCCCCGTCGGCTCTCCACAAAGGGCCGTCCCATCTCTGCTGTGTGGTGCCTGTCTCCCCGACACAGAAGCAGCTGGACGGGACGCACGAAGCCTCTACAGATGTCCTGCTCCATCAGGTGTCCTGGGTTTAGCCTCCGTTAGGAATTCTCGCCTGTCCCGGGCTTTGCCGAGACTGCTACAGTAGCCTCCCCCATCACCAACCCGTGGGAGCCCTCTGCTCTCAGGCATGCAAGGCTCATTCACTGTGTGTGACTGTACTGTGTTTGTTTATTTCAGTGTTCATTTCATTTACATTATGTTTACTTGTATTCATTACTGGAATGGACGCATGGATTCTTATCTTTCAGTAGTCTATAATTGTCTTGATGCTCAAAGTGCCCTGAATTTGGCTAGTGGGATCCCTTCAGGTAGGTCCCCGTGTCATTTTAATGTGACTCTTGTTCTCTTGAAGCTTTTCTTCCTTCTGGCAGAACACCACGTGCCAGGGCTCACCTTGTACTCCTGCCCTGCCTTAATTGGCCATTTCTCTGAGGAGCCTGGTTTCTTCTCAGGAGGATGGCCTGGGTGCCGCTGGGCCCATGGCCGCTCAGGCCCTTCCTGGCCCCTTTGAGCAGATGGAGCTAGAGAACATAAGATCACGCATGTGCACACACCATGCACGCATGCATGTGCCGTGCGCATGTGCACGTACACGGCCCGTGTGCCGTCCTGCACATATTCTTAGTTTAGAGATCTCGGGGTTCTCTGGACACCCCCAATTCCATCAACCCTGGGGCCCTCCCTCCCTTCCCTTCCCCCTTCCACATTGCATCTCCTGCCGTCCACTTGAGAACAACTGGGTTCATCGACAAACATGCTCCATTCAGAATGCATGTAAAAGTTTCAGGACTGCTTCACCCATACCACCTCGAAAGACGAGAGGGCACATTCCAGTGAGGTTGTAATGACCCAAATGCTTCCGCCCCTCCCAGGGGGATGCGGGGTCTGGGAAGTGTCACCCTCATAATCAAGAGTTAATTGCTAAGCACAAAGAAAATTATTAAGTCCTATATGGTGCTAGCACCAGTGGGTTTTGTGTGCTTACAGCTCCATACTTTTGAGCTCTTGGTGGGGTTACAGAGCATCAGTGGCTGGGAGAGCCAGGTTACCAGGAAACAGCAAGGCAACCAAATGCTTTGATTTTATCTTGTGACGTTCCTGACAAATTAATTAAATCAGCCTCTACTCTCAGGCAAATGCTTCTGAGAATGGCCTGCGTTTGAATGGGCTAGGCAGCCTGCACACACAGCCTCCGTCATCTCTGACATGGGCTCTAGGGTCTCGGGCTCAGAAAAAACTCCAGAGGCCACCTGTCCAGCCAGGGCTAAGAATTCCTTTCTGTTGAGTCAGGATCTCTACCTTGCACTTGCCCTTCTAGTGACCGTCCAGTGGACTCTCTGGGGGAGTTCTGCCGGTTTACACATCAGGAGATGGGCTCTGAAAGGTTAGAGGTAGGAGCTGTGTCCGGCCCTGTCGGACATGTGCCCCGGACAAACACCAGCTGTGACAGACCTGGTGGTGAGCCGTTCAGGAGCAGGAGATGGCTGATGAGCGCAGGGCCGGCCTTTTCCAGCTCTCACAGCCATGTCCGCCATGTGGATGGCAGCCCATGTGGAGGGCTGCCTGGGGATAGGAGGTCCCTGCCCTTGACCGATGCTTTGGGGCTTTGGTCAGGCACAGTTCCTGCCCAGACATCTTTGGAGGGGCTCTCCGTTCCACTCCTTCCTGCCCAGAATGTCCCGTCTGGTGCACCTTTCGGAAAGGATCGAGCCTGTGACCCTGATTGACCTCTTGATCCCCGAGTGCTGTAGAGGAAGGGACGTGGGCTTTGGAGACATAGGCTGTGGGTCAGTTCCTGGCTACATTATTACCATTCAAGATTTCAAGCAGTTCAGGACTCTCAGTAATGGGGGCAGTGTGTGTCTCATGGGTTTATTGGAAGAATCAGAGAGCAGGCCTGATTCCCTGATGTGCTGTCTGCCTCCCCACTCTTTCTCAAGAGCTACAGCTAAACAGCCTGGGTCTCCAGGCTCTGTGTAGTCTTCAAACACCTCCCTGCCACTGCTTTTCACACTGGGAATGGTGCATGTGTTTGATGAACCCTTGCACACAGTCAGATGCTCGCGGCTGGGGCGCCAGTCTGTGCATCCGCTCTGCACCTTGGAGTTGTCAGCCCTGAAGTCAAAGGGGGGACTTGGTAAGGAGCAGGGTTTGCAGGCCGGGTCCTTGGGCGTGGCCATCTGCTCTGACCAGGCCCTGGGCTGGGGCAGAGCCCATCCTGAGAAGCTGTTCCACGGGGGACTCAGAGGATGTGTGAGGGAAGGCATCTTAGAACCTCTCCCGGCTTTTATAGGACGAGGTGCATCAATGCGGTGTCTGTACCCCGCGTAGACTCGTGACTTTTGGAGGTTCTGGGGAGGCAGAGGGTGGAAGGAGGACTCTTCCTTGAGAGTTGCTCCCCTCACCTTGGCTGCAGGGGCGTGTCCTGTGACAGCGCCGCGGGCAAGCTCATGCGGCCACCCTGTAGCGGTATCCCCCACACCAGAGCTCCTAGTGCAGGAGAGCCGTCCTCGGCAGTCAGTGGGTTTTCCGGTCCTGCAACGGGGATATTTATTTGGAAAGTGAGTCTGAAGTGGGACTTGGGTGCTGGAGATGGCATTTATGTAAGGTCACAGTTGGTCGACACAAATATTTACTTGGGACAGACACTCTCTTTCTTGAAGATTTGCACCCATAAAAACCACTGAAACTTCAAGTGGCTCATTTCCCTATCACGTAAACATTGTCTCGCCTCTCCCACAGGAAGCCCTGCCTGTGTGAAAATCCTTGAGGGTCCCCTCTTCTGGGGAGGTGGGCCCCCTGAGTGGAGTGTATGGGGCAGGAGGAGTGGGGTTCACTTTGATCCCGCCTCAGTCCACATTGGAGGCTTGTACCCCCAGCCCCAGCCCACACTGGAGGGCAGGACCCCCAGCTCCTGTGCATTAGAGGATAGGGACCCCCAGTGGGCCTCTCTTGGAGGACAGAAGCCCCTCTGCCCCCAGCTGCCTCATGAGCACTCTGAGCTACACCATGCCTGCTGCTGATAGTACAGAGCCTTCCGGAAGAACCAGGGCCTGTGGTGCATCAGAGTCAGACATCTTGGACATGCCAGGTGCGTGCTGGTGGCTGGGTTTAGATGTTGGTCCTGTGAGGGAGCTCTGGCTGGGTCCTGAGCTTAGTGACGCCAGGGACGGGGGTTTCCTTGTGAGGAAAGACTGGTTCTGCTGCCGAGGCCTAAGGACCCCATCCTGCTGCCCCCCTACCCCGCAGCGAACAACTCAAGAGAATTGAGAATCAGGATGTGACTATGTTTTATTGAGAAAGGCTGGACGTTCCTAGCAATCACTAGTTTTTCTTTTGTACATTTTAAGGAGATCTGTATACATTGCCGTCATCTTCGTCCCCACTGTTACTCTCAGAGGCTAACTTTCTCCCATACACGCTGGCTCCCCAGCCTGTACCCCCATGGGCTCCTTCCCTGGTGGTGTAGGTGCAGAGGCACCCGCAAACAGGTAGCACTGGGCCGGCGACTCGGACAGCAGGGGGTCTCTGGTTGCAGGAGAGTCTTCCTGCTGAGGCAGCCCGAGTGCTCAGGGTCACACAGTTGCTGTCGGCGAGGGGCCACTCTGAGGGGTGTGCCTGGGAGAAGCGCTCCTCCGTTCCCCTCTAACTCAAGTGCACTTGTTAGTACTCATAATAAACTATAGGCCACAGACGTGGGGGATGGACCGTAGTATCCAGTTCAGATCTGCTGAGTGTGTTCTGTCTCCCAAGGATGGCAGATTTATGGCAGATTGACCTTGAAACTAAGGTCTTGCCTCCAAAATGTCTCCTTCGTTTTGCTTTCATTGGCCAACATGAGAAATGTCCTTTGCTGTGGGACACAGTGTGTGCAGAGTGGCCCCCATGCCCTGCACCTGCTCACGCCAGCCCCATGCCCCGCAGCCGTGATGTGGGTGGGGAGCCCCAGTGCTGTGTGCTCGGCCCAAAGTCAGGGTGGCTTGGAGTGTGGGCTCCTGAGAGCCCACGTGTGCCCACAGCTGGGGCACAGGCGGGCTGGCAAGTTCTGACTAGGCTCAGGGCACGGTGTGGCCCAGCCCTTCCTCCTGCCTTGCCCTTCCTCCTGCCTTGCCCTGGGGCGACACAGTGTTGGGCCTGTGCTGACACCGCTCAGCCGCCTCTATACAGCGCTGCTGAACTTTACATCCGACGGCTCGGTGCTGTCTGGAATGACTGCCTTCAGGGCAGCATGGCAGAAGCGGTTCAGAGCTGACATGTTGGTTTTCTGCTCAATGTACAGCCTCAGTTTGTCCCGAAAAGTCTCCCCCAGAAAGCTGTAGATGAGGGGGTTCAGACAGCTGTTGGAGAAAGCTGCCAGGTTGACGATGTGGCCAGTTAGCGGGTAGGCGTGGCGGAAAGACTGTGTACAGGGAGCGGCTCCTGGCTGTGTGCGCTGCAGGAGGTGGACGCTGATGAAGACGTTCTCTGGTAGCCAGCAGATGAAGAACACGAGGACCACTGCGAAGATCATGCGGAGGGCTTTCTGCCTTCTCGGGCGCAGGCCTCGGTGTTTGTGAGCTTTGATGAGCACCCGGACGATGAGTGAGTAGCACAGGCCGATGATGGCGAAGGGGATGATGAAACCCAAGGTGACTTCCAGCCACTGGATCTCCTTGACATCTGCAAAGCAGAAGCAGACCTCCTCCGTGTGCTGCAGGTGCACCGCGGTGAAGGGCACCAGCGTGGCAGAGACAGAGGCCATCCAGATGAGGCCGCAGCTCAGCCTGGCGTGGTGCTTGGTGCGGAACAGGCTGGAGCGCATGGCCTTGGCCAGGGCGATGTACCGGTCAAAGCTCATCCACGTGAGGAAGAAGATGCTGCTGTACATGTTGATCTGGAGGAAGAGGGACATGAAGGTGCACAGCACAGTGATGTCGTAGTACTGCTCGTCCAGGTTGAACACCTCAATCAGGGAGTCGGCCACCAGGATGAGGTCAGCCGCCGCCAGGTTGATAAAGTACAAGTCCGGGATTGTCATCTTTTCCCGGAAGCTGATGTTCACCACCAGTATCAGGATGTTCCCCACGAAGCCGATGGGGAAGAGGAAGATGGTGTACAGGCAGGAGAGGAAAAGCCCAATCACATACTGCTGGTGCTCGGAGAGCTCTCCCGTCTGGTTCGCCAGGACGGTGCCAGGGAGTGCGCTGGACAGGTTGAGCTCTGGGGAGGTGCTGTTGGAGGCGCCGGGTTGCGTCTCCATGCCAAAGACGTCCATATCCCCAGATGCACAGCTTTCACGGTTTGCCGCACGGCTCACAGAAATCCAACTTAAACGATAAATCCATCTCTAGAAAGAAAGGCGATGTTCTTTGAAGTGAGCCAGATGTTTGTAAGAGCAGAACTCATCACAGGCACCACCAGGAGCAGTGTGGGTCTGTTTTGCAGAAAGCTGAGCAAATGGAGAAGGTTATCCATGTCCGCGCCGTGAGTGGCTCCTTTTCTGGGCGTCTGCTGGGCGCCCTGTCTGGGCGTCTGCTGGGCGTCGACTACTGTGTTCAGTGCCCACCGGCTGGCACTCACTACCTGCGCACCTGAGAGAAGCATACAGAACAGGAGTAAGTCTTTGGTTCAAGTCTTTACGGCTTTCTGATGGCTTTCTGATGAGGACGGTCTCTGCAGCAGATGGCCACAGGGTGACGGGCAGGCACATGCGTGTGAAGGGAAGGCTGGGACTTGAGGTCCTTAGTGTCTTGGAGAGATGGTTGTCACTGAGCTGAGGAAGAAGAATTAAGTATAGAAAATGCCCCATTTTCTGTCCCCAGGGCTCCCGGGCCGCTCAGTCTGACTGGAGCCTGGACCGTGAGTCATCCTAATGCGCGGTGGACGCCTATTTTTTAAAATAGTTGAATAGCAGGCTTATGAAGGAACATGGCTGTTGGGTATGGAAATCTCAGGAAAAGTACTATTTGCCAGCAGAGGAAATAAAATTTATTTCAGCAGCTGTTGGAAAGAGAACTAAGATGGGAAGGGAAAAACCCAGCTTCTATGAAGATAGTGGACCCAGAATGCTTCGTGGAAACTGGAACAGAATCTCTTACCATAAAACAGATAAAAGAAATCTAGTTTGTTTTTCGGTTTTGTTTTTTTTGCTAACCTAAGCTTGGGTGCCCCAAATGAAACTTTTTTCATGATATGAAATGAAAGAGAAAAAAATCATAAAAATGGTACTTGCTTTAGTAAATATTTATCCAATGTTTTCATAAATTATTGTAAAATCTAATATATTTTTGTAATGTTTGTAACCTAGAAGCTGGGGGAAAAAAAAAAGCCTGAGCAAAGCCCTTTAGACCTTTGCTGCTGACAGGTCTAGCCTACGGAGCCGTCCACCACGCCTGGCTCATCCGCAGTCTTGACAGGCGAGTCAGCTAGGGTTCACTGGGCAGCCGCGGTGGTATTTGGGCCGTCACAGCTGGGGAGGGGTGCCCTTGCCTCGAGGGGGGGCCCCGCCACAGAGGATGAGAGAGACCCCAAGGAAGCCGACCTGGCACATTAAAATGGACTTGAATTGTTTTTCTGTTGAGAGTACTTGTTTTACCCTGTGAGATCATTAGGAGTCATTTTTGAAGTGTTGCCAAACCAGCCTAGACATTTATTGAACCACTGCTTGAAAATACTGCTTTAAAAAAAAAAAAAAGGGCAGAAAAGCAAAAAAACATAAATCACAGCCTTAGGGTCAGTTATTATTTAAAAAGTATTCAGTAAGCTTTGCTTAGCTGGTGTTGATAAGTTTATTAGTTATTTTGCATTTTTTTATTCTTTAGTGGATAATACCAGTTTGAACCACATAAATGACATTGTTCCCAGATAACTCTCTGTAATGTTTAAAGCCTCTGTTTTTAAATTTCTTTGTAAAAAGTGCCGTGGGTGCTTGTTTTGCTCTCTAAATGTGGAAACTTGGGGCCGTTTTCGATGCTTCCAGAGGAGGGCTTGAAGGTGAGGGAGCCCACCGCGCACACTCATCCTGTTCCTATGTTTGTCAAGATAGGCCGTGTGGGAAGAGTTTCAAAGCGAGTCCTGCACTTCTTTCCCACGTACATGAGACTTTCTTTTGATCCTTGGCAAATACTGTTATTTCATAGCGGCCTAGAACCAACACAGGAAGTAGGGTGCATTTCCTACCGCCACAGCACCCTCCTGAGTGTTGACCATGAATTTATAAAGATGAGCATGAAACAGTTTGGTATCATTTTGTTTCGCGTTTCCACTGCTTGTCTAGTTCTAGAAAACTAAAACCACATTTGTCAAATCTACTGGGTGTGTATCTTTGTGAAGGAATACTAATCCGCCCAGACGTGTGGCTTGGGCGAGCGTTTTCATTGAGTGACTGAAGAGCGGTACTGTAGACAGAGCCGTCTCGTTGTCCTAATGTGAGACAGCCCCTTGCTTGAGCGGAATACGACAGAATACTGGATATTATTCTCGGCGTGCCTCACAGAAAGAACCTTTGTGCATAAGCCTCCCCGACTACAGTCACTCTGACATTGTTAGAGCCATGTCTGGGTTCTTATGTGGAGGAGGGGGTGTGTAGCCTCAACGCCCCTCTCACCAGAGCGTGGCCTGTGTATCCACATCTGCATCCAGCTGTAAGCATAACATGTGGCACCTTACCCGAGACCACTGAGCCAGGTCTGCCTGGCGGTCCCCATCGCCCCCAATGCAGAACCAGGAACCCAGGACGGAGACTCACCTGCACCGCAGCCAGCCACCCCAACTTGGGCCGGTTCTGAGCAGACCCTTCCCCCGTCCCTTGGAAGGCTTGTCAGCCAGCCTCAGCAAACGTGCTCATGGCAGGCTGGAGGCGTAGCTGCAACTCTCCCTCAGGTGGTGGGGATTCTGGACTTGGTTCCACCCGTCGAAGAATGCCGGAGCGGTGGTCCTGGGAAGGGAGGCCTGGTGCACGAGGCTGACCTGCCAGAATGCTGGTCATTGCTCCGGACACCGGGGCACTGCAGGCTTTATAGGCTTCCCAGGGCCGCCCATTGTGCTCTGCACCGCTGGACGGCCTCCTGAGAAGGCCGGCATTAACCATTTTTTTGCTGGCCTTTTTTCTCCCACACTGTGGCAATGAGCTCGGTCCCACTACACATTTTTATGGAAGTTTCCAGATTTAACTGCTTTTCTTCACCCACTGATACAATTTTTTTTTAAGTGTGAAAGCATTGGAAGTAGGTCTTGTGTACCTTTCAGATGATGACCCGTCGTCATTTGTTGGAACTGAAATGGTCTTGCTTGTTTTTAAAACTAAGCACTAGATTTCCTAAGCCTAGAGAGTACTGTACTAATTATACTTAGAGAATTTAACCTAGAACTTTCACAAAAGCATTTCCAGAAAGAAATTTAAACCCCAGAAATAGCAGGTATCTGGGGCAAGTCCATGAGGAATCAGAGTTTTTTTTTTCTGCTCTCAGTGTTAGTCGGGTCTCAGCGTGCCCCTTCCCTTTGCTCCTGAAACCACCTGCGTGCACCTGTCCAGCAGGAGTTGGTGACCAACCCGAGAGGCCCCCTCCTCCTCCCCGCCACGGCCGCGACTCTTGTGTGGTCGGGGTGAACTTAGTCCCAGTCCCAGGGACCCCCAGTGCCTGACCGTCCTGCAGGCAGCTGCTGTCTCCTGCCCCACCGGCCGGGGCTTGGGATTCACCATCGCCTGGGAGAAAGGCCGGCAGAGTCGCACCAGGGTCCAGGTGCCTGCACATCAGGTCTGTAAGGTCTGCAGGACCTGCCGTGCTCTGGCTGCTTGCGCCACGTGCGATGTTCCTGGACATCACCACATTTTAATGGGTCTCATACCTTCCTCTTGGTGACTTTTTGAAGCTGTGAGATTGAACTGAGCATGATCCTTTGGATTCCTGAGTGTGAATAAAGCAGATGGCCGCTGCGTTGGCAGCATGGGGGCCAGCATGTTCCCCCCTCAGAGGACAGAGGCTGGTTCCCGGCTGGGAGTGGAGGCATCTGGTCGGACGAGGGCGCATCGGGCGCGGGGTGCTCCTCCGGTTACGGGCACTGCAGGTGGCCAGTGTGGTCCCTGCAAGCTTTCTGTTTTGTCAGGAGCCTGTGAGCTTGAAGGTATTTTGGAGGGTAATAATCTAACATCTTTCAGATTCGTGTTTTATACACATATTTTTCAACAGAAAATACTATGTTAAATTTTTTGTGGAAAAATACTAGCATCAGTGTTCTTTCCAGCTTTGGAATCCAGATATAATTCTAAACTGTTAGCTTCTTCAAGTTCTGAATGACATGGTAACGTGAACAAGGCCCTAACAATGCCCGAGGACACCATTTTGAAAGAAGTGAGTCATGAGAAAGTACAACTTCCTCTTGTGTTAAAAAAAATAAATAAAAATCCGAACCTTGAAATAGCCAAGACATGCCACGTAAAAATAGCCTCTGCCTACTCGCCCCGGCCCGTGGCTGCAGCCCCTGTGGTCCTGGTGGCTGAGGAGCTTCCAGCGGCTTCCGACGCGCCACCCCTGCGTCTCCCGCTAAGGTGGCTCCGGGACGGGCGGCCCTGCGGCTGGCGGGCTGATGTTGTGCAGAAGGTGTGGCATCGGCTGCTGAGGGCTACCAGGTGTTGGCACTGGGTGGCTAGTAACCTGTCAGCCCTCACACGACTGGCTCGCGTAAGGCACAGGACCCCGCTGGTAGGGATTTCAGTCCATGAACCCGAGCCCGGGGATGGGAACGTCTTGCAGATGTCTCTGTCAAGCATAAAGACCTCCTGTAAAGTTTAAAATCCACCCTTCAGTGAGCGTTTACTCACGCTAGGCTCTGTTTGCTACGCGCATTATATCCGCTCGCTCACGCCACCCTCACTGAGCGCTCTGGCATGTCGGGGCTGGTCCTATCCTGCCGCACGGGTGAGAAGCCTGAGCTCGGGGCATTTGCCCCAGGCCTCGGTCTGGCTGACTCTGGCCCACGGTCCTTGTCATCACACTGAGCGCTTCCCACGTGGCCAGTCCCCTGTAACAAGGTTGTCTCCATGCTGAATTTGGGCTTTATAGATTTTTGTCCATCCCCAGAATCGGATGACGGGGAAACTTCAAAGGGAATCCAGTCTGATTGGCGTTTAGTTAAATTTGCAAATGGAGTCCGATAATGGGTAACGCGTAGAGAGCAGACATGCGGTAAAGCCAGGAGGTCTGCCTGAATGAGGGGCCCCCCCCAAACCCTCACCCTCATTCCCAGCTGCTCCAGCCCTGGTGCTGCCTGCATGTCACCGTTGAACCTCCCTGTGTCCCCCGTCCCTGCCAGCCCTGCTCTTCTGTAGCAAAGAATTGTCCCCCTGCCTGTGGAGGGGCCCCTGTGGTGAGACACTGTGCCCCAGCGGTCGCAAGCCCGGTTTCTGAACCGCCAGGTTCCATTTTCTCCCTCTGCAGTCGGCTGCCCCGGGGCCCTCGGTAGAGTGGGGGCACGTGGGCTTCTGGTGCTTGTGGAGCTACGTGATGCCCGTAGAGCAACTACAGGTCACCTGGCGTCTCTGCCGTTCTTGTCCCACGGTGCGGGCACCACCCTTCACCAGGACGGCCTGGTTAACAAGACGTGGGCCAAGTCCCAGGCAGCTGGGCTCCTGTGTCCTTCGGGTGCATCGCAGGGAGAGAGCATATTGGTCCCAGTGTTGTAGGCTCACGATTGAGGCCCCGAGTGATGTCGGTGCCACGCTTTGGAGTCCACCTGGCCTATGTGGTGCTTATGGGAGGGGAAGCTCACGGGCACCACGGTGCTCCCACACTTGAGAGGCAACACCGCACACACAGCATTTCGTGCCTTGTCTCTGATTATCCCGAGTGGGGGGAAGCAGAGAGCCCCTGCCCCTGTGTTCTTTACAAAGCACTCTGTAGGCTTCATGCTCACACCCACCCTGAGTATCCAGGCCAGCACCACCTGCTATGAAGACAGAGGCCAGGGCCCAGAGAGGGGACGGGACCGTGCTTACCTTGGGGAAGCGTGTGTGATGGGCGTCCTGCATCCTCTTTGTTGGCTGCAGGCTGGCCTAAGGAGGTGTGTGCTGTTAGGGAATACTGTAGGCCCCCCAGTGGGTAGCCGTTGGCCGGGGCCAAGTATCAGAACTTCTAATTCTGAGTGTGTGTGTGTGTGTGTGTGTGTGTGTGTGTGTGTGTGTGTGTGTGTGTGTGGCCCGGGAAGCCGGCCTGGGGAGTGGAGGGGCGACCACCAGGCAGTTCCTTCCACGTGAGCTCTGCAGATCCAGCCCGGAGCCTGTGCGGGCAGGAGTGGACGTGCCAGCGCTGTCCTCTCATCCTCTCTGGGGCTGTGGGTCAGACCCGAGCTGCAGTCCCGTGTGTGTGCAGACCCGTAGTGTGCCAAACAGCCACCGTCTACACTGTCTGAGGCTGTTACCTAGAGAAAAACGGACGGGCCTTCTGCAGACCCACCATCCGGCCTCTTCTGTCACGGGAAGGGGATGGTGAGTGTTCAGGTGCTCTCAGGCATCAGATGCACCTTCACACCCACTCAGCCTGGGGGTATTTTATGACACCATAAAAGAGCCGTCCCCGTGGTTTCGCGCATGTTGACTTTCTGGGCAGCTGGGCTCCTCTCAGCCGTCGCCTGGAGCTTTCTGGACGTTTCCTCTCATTCTCTGAGAGCGATGTGCCAGTTGCACCCAGAACGTGGTGCGTGTGGCCCGCAGAAGCGCGGGCGGATGGCGCACACCAGGCTCTGCCCCGGGGAGGGCTGTTTGCGGGTGGCATGTTCTAGAATGCCAGGCTGGAGGTCTGGGTCCTTGGGGAGAGGCTGGGGCCACAGGAAGTGGCTTCCCCTCACCCCCCACCCCCCCCCGTTCTGAGCCATCTTTTTCAAATCAAGGTTTCGTGGGCACCTCCCACGCTGGAAAAGCACAGTTCTGCGTGTTTTCTTGCTTCTCTGTGGCTCTTGACCTTTCTCTTGGCTTTGTCCTTGCAGAGCTCCTGTTCTCAATGTGTCCTGTCTGTCCCAGGATGAGGGGTGAGCAGACGAGACCCACATCTGGCAGCCGCCCTGTCCCCACAGGGCTCTTGCGGGGCTGGTGGTTCAGGCCGGGGGCACCTGGGTGTTCTAGAGGTCAGATGTCCCCACCTCCTCTCCTGTCACAACGGTACCTTTTAGTGTCTCAGACGTTGGGCTTCCTTGTAGGATTTGTTTAAAGAAAGGATCCTATGGCTCAAAATAAAAAGTTTGAGAACCACCGATTTACGTGCCTGTGGTTGGGTTCTAAAACCATTCCTTTAGCCAAAATACTGAGAAACTCAGTGGGATCAGATTCTCCGGGCTTGGCTTACGTGTTCACTGTCCCAGCCTGAGTCCGCCATTTCTCGGAGAAGCCCTGAGCACATGTGAGCCTAACCCCTCCTTCTGTTCTAAAACTAGTAGGCTGTTGGCTTCTATTATTGTGTATTTATACATTAATTTAGGTCCTTCCACTTCTGGCCATAAATGAGTAACGTCAGGGAACTTGCCATAAACCATTAAAAGCTGGTTAAGATAGAGGACACAGCTGTTTTCAGACACCGGGGCAGTGGGCAGTGCAGGACCTTGGTGTTGGAGAGAAGGAAGCAGGCGTGGTGAGCCCCCTCGTCTGGAGGCAGGAGGTGTTCCGAGCAGCTCAGGGTGACCGGACCACGTTGAGGGGATGGTATTAGGTTTCTGGGAGGCTGAAGGGGCTGGAATGGCAGGAGATGGGGCTGGAGACAGGGAGTCATGTCAAGAAAGAGCTCCTGAGCCTGTACGTGCCTGGTGTGAACAGTCCAGGCCGTGCCCAGAGCGGCTACAGGACAGCTCCAAGCCGAACAACTCCCAGAGTTACATAGGCCTGAGCTGCCTTCTCATTCCACCCGGCCAGACTAGAGATGCTTCTGAGCATTTGTGATGAGGAGAGACCCCAGAACGGGACGCTCTAGACCCTGACTAACAAAGCTCTCCAGAGAATCCCACGCCTCTACAGGGAACAACGTGCCTGCCAGAGTAAACATCAGTACTCTTTAAGAGTAAGGGGCGCCTGGGTGGCTCAGATGGTGAAGGGTCTGCCCTCAGCTCGGGTCATGATCCCTGAGTCCTGGGATCGAGCCCTGTGTTGGGCTCCCTGCTCAGCGGGGAGCCTGCTTCTTCCTCTCCCTCCGCGGCTCCTCACCATTCATGCTCTCTCTCTCTCTTTTGCTTGTTCTCTCTCAAATAAATAAACAAAATCTTTTAAAAAAGTAAGAGAGTAAAATTAAACACTCAACAAGGGAAATTCATGACATCCAGCATCTAGTAAAAATTACTCTACCGTGTGTGAAGGAGCAGCCTTAATGTGTCAGTCCTGATGCCATTTGTCCTGCTTGACCCTCCTGGTGGAAGGGAACGCACTGACTTCCAGAAGCCCCCAGCTCTGTCCTTTGCGCGCCTGCCAGCCCCTACCGGCCTCGCGCCTGCCGGCAGTCCAGGGCCAACACTCTTTGTGTGAGCACACAGAGGAGCAGAAACAGAAGGGGAGTGGGTTTTTTAAAGCATTTAATATTTTAATGGCGTATTACAGAAGCTATTTAACCATATAATCCAAATCCTTTTCCTTCCAAAGAAGTAATGCAGGTATATCAACATTGAAAAGACATACTTGCAAAAGGCAAGTTTTTGTTCTGTAGTTTGCAGAGTAACATAAAATATTCAAATGTTTTTGTTCAAATGTTTTTGAAAATCTTCAAAATGTTTTTGTTCCAAAGTTTGCCAAGTAACATAAAATATTCATTAAAATAGAAGCTGTCCAGACAGCAGAGTATTATTCAGTCCTAAAAAGAAACAAGCTACCAAGACATGGCGGAACCTGACACGTGTTCCTAAGTGACAGAAGCCAGCGTGAGCCGGCTCCGGACTGTGGGATTCCAGCCGCAGGGCGTTCCGGAAGAGGCAGGACTGCGGGGGCAGTAAAGATGGGGGTGCCAGGGGCGGAGGGCAGGGGTGCAGAGGCAGAGCACGGGGGCTTTTCGGGCAGTGGGTACTCTGTGATGCCATAATGAGGGATACGTGTCCATACAGACCCACCCGAACCACGGAATGTACACCACCAGGACTGAGCCCGGACATGAACTGTGGACTCTGCGTGACAGTGATGTGTCGATGTAGATCCATCAGTTGTGACAGATGCTTCATCCGGGGGGACATCAGTGTGGGGGCAGGGCATGGCGGAAATCTCCTAATTCTGTTTAGTTTTATTGTGAACCTAAAACTGCTCTGAACAGTCAAGTTTTCATGAAAAACCAAAACTGTCAAAGGAGTAGGATCCCACAACCAGAGACACCTTTCCCTGGCACGCTTCCTCTCTCTCTTCAATCAAGAAAATCTTAATATAACTCTAGCAAGATTGGTTAAGAGTAAATTTTGGGTTAAGATTAACTACTGAACTTTGTATTTTATGTTTGGTACCAGCCTTTCTGCACATGATGTCAAACAGAGCAGATGGGGCTTTAGACACAGAGCTTGTCACTGACTACCCAGAGCCCTGACGATGGGCACCAACCACCTGCCAGGTCACAGGGAGTGGGGAGTGCCGTGGGACACTTGATCAGCGTGTGGGTGATATTCTCAGACCTCCAGTGATGATAAATTTAAAAAGATAGAACCAAACTTCTTTGCTCTCAGCAATATTTAGGTGGTCCAAACTTTCTAGCAGTGTTAAAGGTTATCCAGTTAATGACCCTTTAGGACCAGATTATAATATGGCCCTAAAGTTCTTTGAATAATGTATTTATTTTCAAGATTCTGTCGTCTGGCCGGGCAGGGGCAGAGAAGGATGCCGGCTCGCGGACAAGCTAACGGAATTGCCCACCAGCATTTAGGATATCTCCGCCCAGTCAGGCCTGTGTCTGGCCAGTTTGAACCTCCACAGTCACTGCACCCTGGATTTGCAGGGTTTCCTTCAGCTCCAAGTGTTTGGTTTGAGCCAGGATGTGGAGCGTTTGCGTATGCAGAGCCGAATGCCAGGCAGTTATTTGGCAGCGCCTTCCAGGCCATCCCGTCACCCCCTGTTGGCGCTCACCATGCAGATTGGAGTTGTAGCAAATGGTTCTGTTCCCTCACTGCCAGAAAGACCCCCTCACTTGTCCGGCTTGCTCGTCTGCTGCAGGCGGGGCCCTGCCTTAACCCCCAACTCTCTTTAAGGAGAAGCTGTCGCTGGGCTCTCCCTTCCTGCACCATCGGGTGAGGCGCTCCGGAACGCTCAGCAGTGCCAGCCTGCAGGGCCGGTGGAGGAAGAGGGTGGCCAGGGAATTCACGCCGCTCTCCCCAAACAGGACCAGCTCTGCCAGGCTCATGAGGAGCTCGTCCCTTGGGGAGCCGATGTCCCTCTGCAGCTTCAGCCGGGCCCGTTGCAGGAGTGCGATGTTGTAGGGGAGGCGGCAGGCAAACGTGGTCAGGGCCGTGGCCAGCACGACTCGAGGAGTGGAGGCCGCATCCCTCTGGGGGGCGGCCGCCCGCCAGGCCAGCTGGACAAGGAGCAGGATGAAGAACACCAGCTTCAGGACGAGGGCCAGCCCGAAGCCCAGGCTGACCTTGACGATTTCATACTCGGGCCAGGCGGTCAGCGGGTCCACCTGGCACAGGGTGCTTCTGGACAGCTCTCCAGATGTGCCCAGCAGGGCTGCCAGTCCCAGGGAGCTGCAGAAGGCACAGCCCCCAATGACAGCCAGGCTCTCCACGGGCCTCTGGGCCGCCTTGGTGGCCGTGCGCAGGCAGGGCGCGGAGCCCTGCAGCAGGAACGCAAAGAGCATCACCAGCTGCACGTACTGCCCGTTGAAGTAGCAGACGTTGGCCAGGAAGGAGAGGACAGCACAGCCCAGGTTGGTGGTGACCATGTAGTCTGGCCGGCTGACGGTGGTGAGGGAGAGCAGCGTCACCAGCACGTGGGTGACCGTGAGGTCTGAGAGGAATGCGTCCAGGCCCCCCTGCCTGGCACGGCCCTTGATGAAGGTGGTCAGGTTGAAGAGCCCAGCCGCCAAGCTCAACGGGACACACAGGGCCATGTAGACGTGCAGGCACCTAGAGACGATGCTCTGCGCAGTGATGACGTCTTCAACTGCCGTGGAGACGTGGCTTGGGTACCGGACCCACGACATGTTGTGGGAGCTCATCTCGGCCGTGTCTGAGCTGCAACAGAAGCATACCACGCTGTTACTGGCTGTCACCATGGGGTCACGCTAAGGGCAAGAGGGGACTGCCCCCGGGGGGGAGGGAGCCTGTGCCTGAAGGAGGGCCTCCCACTGAGGTGGCTGGGTAAGGGGATTGCTGTGACAGCCAGCTTCCCTACGTGGGCGTTCTGGAGCAAACTCAAGCCGGGGCCCGCTGGAGCAGGGGCCTGGGCACCCCTCTGCCTCGCCTCCCCCCACATCAGAAGGAACCTTACTGCTCATAAAAGAAACGCCTTCTTGGAACGAGGTCACGTCTTAGTCCCACCTCTAAAGCATGTGCGCCAGGGGCCCTGATCTCCCCAAATTGGGGGTCAGTGAAAGATTGCTGGGGAGTGGAGTTCCAGGACCCAGATTCGGAGCCCCTCCAGGGCCTCGTGCTCACTCCAGTCAGGGCCTCTGCCTCAGGGAGGGAACGGCCCGAATCCGCATTGTTCTGAGACGTGTGTGCATGTGGCCGTACAGCTTCTGGACCCAGAAGAATTCTGACGGACTCTGGCCTGTCTGAGGGGACCACACTCCATAGTGTCGACTCTGGAGACGGAAAGGTGGCTCTGTGTGCGTGCCGGCCCCCCGAGGACCTCAGCGCCTCCTGGGTCTTGCGGCCAGGAGCTGCTTGAGCTGAGCTGTAAAGTCCTGACTTGGGCCTTTAAATTGCAGTGCTGACAGACTCACAGCCTTCCTGGCTGGTCTTTTGTCACCAAAATTGTTTCATTTCTGTATACACGTATCCTCCCCCTTAAATTTTAACCAAACAGCAGCTGAGGCTGGGAGATAGCATAGCTCCTCATTCAAAGGAGGTTGAAGGAATAAAACTGGAAAGTGCCCGTTCGTGGAGTGCTCATGGTGGGCTTGGCCCCACAGCCAGCTTTTGCGCTCTCCACGGGGGCGGCTGGGGGCCCGGCTGGCGGAGTCGCACAGCGTGACCACACACGTCCAGCGCTGTCTCTGTGGCCGACTTTGCATTTGGAAGCCTCTGTTACATGCGGTTGTCTGACACGCGGCACCCTTGCACACGTAGACGTGTCCTCGGCGTTTCTCACTCCTTCCTGGACGTGCCCAGTGCCCAGACACAGATGCACATCCTCGTCTGACCGACAGCCGTGGGCTGCACCGTGTGGAGGTTGGCTCGTGTGTGCTTGCCTTGGTGTGCTTGCTTTGGCTTTGTCATGTCAGTAGCTCTCCCCGTGGACTGACCCTGCTCTCCGTCCCACAGGCCTGCAGAGGTGACTTGAATGCACACACTTCTCCAGGTACGTGTCTGGCTGGCTTCGTCTGAGAGACACAGGGAATTGTGCTGTTTTCCATCTGCTGCTGCCGAAGGTAATGAGTAATTGCCAGGACATTGAGTGACTTCAAAATTAAGAATAGTGAGCCGACTGAGAGGAAGTGATTTGGAATGTTAATCTTTAATTAAGGCAAATTGGAAAGAAGATCTTGTGAACGTTGACCACAGGTCAGGAAATGGCATTAGGCTGTGCCGGTGTCTGATCCCTGCATCTGGCCAGTGTTCCAGGCACTTCCTGGGGCCAACCGTACTATCTCTGCCGGTGGTTTTGGGGGTGCTCATTGTCAGAGGCCACCCTGCTTGTGGCAGTCGGCTCTGTTACCTGATTTGGTGGCCAGGCTCTGGGTCACCCAGCCAGGTGGACAGAGGGTATGTGTCCCCAAATCTGGCCTTGAGAGCACGTCCCAGACTCGTCAGCTTGTTGACTGCGTCTTGCCTTGTCCTGTGCTTTTCTCCGGAGGCAAGGGGCCTTCCTCGGGGTTGGGGGAGCTCCAGCCTCACGCTCTCTTCCGTCCGGTGTGCGAGTTGTCTGGTGAGAGGTCATGCACTTGTGGGCCCACAGTCAGGAGTGGGTGTGCTGCCGTCTGTACACTGGGCTCCAGGACAACCCCTTCCCAGGCAGGGGAACGTTCAAGGAAAGGAGGTCACCCAAGGATGGGCAGGGCGCACTGGCCCCCAGTGTCCCAGCAGCATACCAAGTGGGGTGCTGCTCCTTCCCCTGGATTTAACGCAGGTGTGCAGGCTCTGATCCTTTTGCCCCAGGGCTGTGTGGGCAAAGGGTGGAATTCTAGCACCTTTTTCTGCCTTCAGGATTGGATCCAGGGGGGGAGGTGTCCCAGCAGGTGAGACCTGATGCGCCTCCGAATCCCTGGCCTTGCTGAGGCCAGCCTGGGAAGGGTTGGTGGGCTCTCGGCTTTGCCCCCTTCTGGGCCCAAGGAGCACGGAACCTTCTCCCAGTGCGCCTGCGCTGCGGCCTCACCCACCCCACCCACTGCGTCTCTGGGCTGAGCCTTCTCAGGGGCCGCGCTGGCCACCAGCATTCCCCTCACCACAACTTTTGGGTTTTATTCGGAAAGATAATAAAACACGTAAGACATCTCATGAAATTGTCCGTGATGACTGCTCTTCCGCCCAAACTCCCACCCACATCCCTGACTCTCTTGTGTCTCTTGTCTGTCTTACAGCTTCTCTTTGGCCTTGACAGTCCTCCCGCTCCCGCCCCAGCCTCTGCAGCTCACCCTGCAAAGGGGCGTGCGGGGGGGCAGGGCTCGCGGAAGTCAGGGCCGTTGCCGGCAAGCTGGGTGTTCACCACCTGCTACCGCCGTTGGAAGCATTTTACACAGAGTAATTTCCTCAAACCGCCCAGTTTTCCACAGGAGGTAGGGACATTTGAAATCCCACTTTGTGGTGGAGGTGAGCACGTCACAGAGCAAGGGAGTCATTTGTTCAGGTAGCTGGCAGTAGCGATGGTATCGAGATCAGAGCCTGACGGTTTGGCCCGAGAACCTGTACATTTTTAAAATCTACATGCGATGAAAGTTACTCTTTTTGGTGTATACTGCAAACACCACCACACACAGCATACAGACGGTCCCATCACCCACTGAATTCCTCTGTGCCATTTCTTGGTGCTCAGCCCGTCCCTGTGCCGCACCGGGCAACCCCCGCGCCGTCCCTCTCATTCGGACTCTTCTGGGATGTCATCGGTGTGGCGCCTTTAGCGTCTGGCACGTTCCGCCTCGGCAGACGGCATCAGAGACCCCCCCGTGATGCACGGGTCGCTGAGTCGCATCCCAGCTGTGCATCTGCCGTTCCGCTGGCATGTGGGCTCTTTCCAGGCTTGGGCTCTTAGAAATACAGCTGCTTCAGATATTCGTGCATAGGTTTTTATATGTGAACATACAGTTTTGTAGGTGAGCATAATACTTTTTTCCTTGGGTGAATACTTACGAGTGGGATTGCTAGGTCTTGTTTTTAAAAATTTCATTTGGTGGGCACCTGGGTGGCTCAGTCGTTAAGCGTCTGCCTTCGGCTCAGGTCATGATCCCGGGGTCCTGGGATCGAGTCCCGCATCGGGCTCCCTGCTCAGCGGGAAGCCTGCTTCTCCCCCTCCCACTCCCCTTGCTTGTGTTCCTGCTCTCGCTGTGTCTCTCTGTCAAATAAATAAATAAAATCTTAAAAAAAAAAAAGTGTGTTTAAAAAAAATTTCATTTGGTAAATTTGACATGTTCCACGTTGTAAACGTACAGTGTGCAGTGTGTGACTTTGACACATTTATGCATTGATGATCGGCCGATGTAATACTGTCTGTGCCCATCAGCTGTGCAGCAGGTCCCTGGCTTAATCATTCCTGTTTCTCATCTGTGCCCTCGGTCTGACCCCCGTCCCACCTTTTCACCGGTTCGTTTTTGTTTTTTTAAGATTTATTTATTTATTTTAGAGAGAAAGAGCATGCAAGCGTGGGAGGGGCAGAGGGAGAAGGAGAGAGAGTCTCAAGCGGACTCCACGCTGAGTGTGGAGCCCGACGCGGGGCTCGATCTCACGACCCCGAGATCAGGACCTGAGCCTAAACCAAGAGTCAGACGCTTAGCCTACTGCACCCTCCAGGCGCCCTGGTTTGTTTTTTAATAGGTTTAACTTCTTTCAACCGCATGGGTAGGTGATATCCTACAGGACTTGTCCTCCTCTGTCTCGAGGAGCATGGCGCATACGAGCCCGTGTGTGCTGCCCGGAAGGGCAGTGTGTCCTCCCTCCTGGCCGGATGCTGTCCCACTGTGTGTGTGCTGCACCATCTCGATCCGTACAGCTGCTGATGGGCACTGGCTTGTTTTTGTGAGTGTGCGTCTCACTTGATGTGAAGCTGCCGGTGTTTGCCTGAGAGAAGCTGTGATGGTTTGCATCCCTGCCAGAGCCTACGCTTTCCAGCACAGGTCTTAGCTGAGGCCCCGAATTCCCCTGGAAGGCAGGCTGGCCCTCTGAGGCAGAGCCCTGCCTTGTTCTGGTGCCAGTTTTGGGCCGAGAACCAGGGCTGCGGGGGCCCTTTTCTGAGTCACACGAAAGGGCTGCCAGGGCCCAGCTCTGGGGTCCCCGGGGAGCACTCCAAGGCCAGAGCCCTGAGAATCTTGTGTTCTTTATAGCAGCTTGTGGCTATAGCCCCTTAAATGGGCTGTCAGAGTGGGAGGGGCGTGCAGGGCGGCTTCCAGTGGGTTTACGCTCCCTCAGTCCCCCCACGGGCCCCGGGTGGCGGTCCAGCTTTTGCTCCATGGGGCCTTCCCCCAGCAGCTGCTCCTCACGCGTACTTTGTTATGGGCCTGCATTTACGTCCCAGGGAGCTCTCCTCCGGGTACTGAGCACCTGGGCTGTTCAGTGTTTTCCCTGCGTCCACGTGGCCCTTCTTGTCTTCCCCGGGGATGAGTAACAACTCGAGTGCTGGGACCCCACTGGGGACGCTTCTCTGAATTTTTGCTGTCCTTCTTTGCTGGGTCTTTCCCAGGTCTGTGCTAATTTCACATGTGATCCCAGAAAGGCTCACAGACTGTTTCTGTATGGAAAGAGCATGAGCCTCTGAGGTCAGGATTCTGCTCCGGGACTGTGCCGTGTCCTCAGCCCGGCTGGCGTGACCCTGTGCCAGGGTCTCCGAGCGCACCCTGTCCCTGTCGCCCCGTCGGTCTCAGATGTGAACCTCTGGGCAGTCATCTGGGGTCCCGTCATCCACCACCATTTCTCCACCACCAGCTCCTAAGTTGCAGGCGCGTGAGAATGTGGTGGGCGCGCTCCATGCTCCCTGTTAATCTAGTGAGTTATGGGACGGAGTGACCGGAAGGTAAACTGCTTTTTGTCCCCGCCCCTTGGGAGGATTCCTTCCTACTCTGTCCCAAGGCGCCAGCCCCTTTCCCTCTTGGCCAGCCCCTCCCTCTCCCTCTCCCTCTGGCAGGACTTGGCTTTTGTAGAGCCTTCTGGGCTTGGCTGCGTAAATGTTTCCATTCCAGCCCTGTCTTCTGTGGTCCCTGCAGACGGGGAGCCGTTGGGCCTCATGAGTCACTGTTCAGCCCATACATGGCCAGGCCCTGTGCTGTCCAGCCCGCCAGCTTTACGGTGGTGCAGGGCGGAGGGCACGAGCTTTTGTGGACACTGGACATAGGGGGCCACCCAAGACTCAGGCCCAGATGGCGTGTGGGAGCCGGCCCTGGCGTCCCACCTCTGGCCCCTACCTGGGGACTGGGAAGGGAGCGTGACCAGCTGTGTGGCCCTGCTTACCCATACTGCTTCTGTGGGGGCCCGGTACCAGGCGTCTGCCTCCTCTCCTTCCTGGTGGTCCTAGGGCGTGAATTCCTGAACCGTTCTGAATGTCTTCTATGGGTTTTGGGGAAAATAACCTCCCTGAAGTGTAAAGATGAAAAGGTTTCCACTTTGCTCCTTTGGTGTCTTCCGAGACCTCCTCTGTCTCTCCTGGACACACTTAGGCGCACGCACGTGCACACACATACCTCTGGGAGACACAGCTCCTCCCTATCCGACCTGGCGCTGGGGCAGCCTGCTCCTCACACAGTGGACGTCCCTGCCTGGACAGGGGACCCTGCCTCGCCGCCATCCCCGCAGCTTTCAGGGACACGTCTTGCGTCCCTGCGTAAGTAGGAGGCCAGAGCACAGCTGTGGAAGGCTTACCCCTGTGAGGGCAGGCCGAGCCCCGGGCCTCTGAGTGCCCACGGGATCTTCCTCTGACCCTGAGTACACTCCCCCATGTCCCCTTGCTGCTCAGCCACCGTCCAGAGACACCGTGAGAGTCCCTTGTCTGTACTCAAGGCCCTTCTTTTCAGCTCGCCTGTGAGAAGCTTCCCACTGGTCTGGACGGTTCCGAGGGCAGAGACGATGGGGGTCTCCTGACCTAGGGGCGCCCGTTTATGTCCACTGACAGCCCTGTTGTCCTTGGTGTTGGCCAGCCCCTCCCGGTGCACTGGGGGCAGCCTTAACTCGCAGAGCTGAGCCTGAGAGAACCGTGCTTTGGCAAACCCACTCCTGGTTTAAAGATGTACCCTCCATCCACCCGTTCCCACACACTTACCGAGCACTCGTGAGGAGACTGGCCCTGGCCGCTGGCCGCCACTGTCCTGCCCTCATGGGCCATCAGTGCCTTAGCGCGAGAACACCTGTAGCTGGTACCTGGCACCGGATGGGGTGAGCCAGACCGTGTGCCCCATGGAGCATTGCAGCAGAGGGGCCTGCTGTAGGATTTGGGGTTGGGTGGGTGATTTGGAGGAGGGTCTGAGGAAGTGGACGCTGTCTGTCAGAAAGTGGGGGCCGTACCAGGACCGGGGTCCTGCGTGGTCTTGCCTGAGGGTGGGTGTGGCATCACTGGTAAAGGGGCGGAGCGCACATTTGGACCAGACGGGAGGGTGTTGATGTTCTGTGGCCTTCTGCGGTGTGCTTCATGCCGCTCCCAGGATGGCATCTGACGCTGGCGCTCTGTGAGGGCCGTGGCATGCCGTACGGCCAGGCTGGCTGCCAGACCCTTGTTTCTGTCCTTCCCCACACGGCCCCTGCGGTGATGCCACGTCCTGTGCTCTGGACCGCAGTGCCTGGCGAGGGGGTGCTGTGGTGCTGCAGACTCCTCCCCCGGCAGTTTCTGCCCTGTCATCCCTAGCTCTTATGTCCAGCCCCGTCCTCTGCTGCCCTGACCTTCCTCAGGCCCCCGACTGAGGGGCACGTGCAGGGCCCAGCCCTGTCCCCAGAGGTCCTGGAGGGCTCTGCTCCGTGGGCTTCCGTCATTGCCCTGTCCCAGCAGCAGGTGAACACCGCCCCTCTGTGCGGTAGACAGCCCAGCAGTTCACTCCATAGTGGTCTTGCACAAATTAATCAGCTCCTGGGTGTGTGTCAGCAGCATGTCACCCCTGAGCATCTTTGTGAAGATCCTGTCAGACGAGGTGGCACGTGGGGTTTCCACTTACAGAGGGGATTCAGGTGGTCACAGAGAGCCACACTGAGCATCACCTGAACACAAAGCCTGTCTTGTGCAGAAGGTTGGCTGCCCCTGCTTGCTTTGAAAACTTGAACCTTCCCCTTCCTTTCTAGGCTCCACCCTCTGGGTGGAACACCTCCGGGTCTGGGCTCCCCGCCCCACCCCACCACGGTTGTGGAAAGAGACCCCCCCATTCTAGGCTTCGTGCCCCATGAAACGTATACGTTCCAGATGTGCCTCCTGTAAGACGTTCATTGTACTCTGCCAGACCAAAAGCTCTCCACGTCTGTGCCCTAGGATGGAGACCCAGGGCGAGGAGCGCCCCTGGCAGCTTCGGTTGGCGCCCAGATGTGTGTGCTGACAGTTGATAAGCCTGCTCTGGCTCCATCTTCAGGACACAGAACTAGAGCCACTATTGGTCTTTGCTTAGTGAGGAAGACCTGAGCAGTCTGCTCAGTCACTTCCAGGTCGAAATGCTAGAAAAATAAATCTCATTTTAGTTTTTACTGGAGCCAACCTATAGTTTAAAGAAGGCTTAGTTTTCAGAGAGAAATGGTGCTCAGCCGTGAAACCACCCGTCAGCCCACGCTGTCTGCCAGCGCTCAGTCCCAGTAAGCCGGGGGCGGGGGGGGGGGGACCCAGAAGCAGGGAAAGAGAAGAAAGCCAGGAGGGCCGGCAGCTCACCTGTGCGGGGGGCCCGCGCACCTCCTTCGTCTCCAGCCTGCGCTCTCCTTCAGCTGCTCTGGGCTCGCTGGAAACGGCAAGCACAGACCGACGGTCCTGTAAGGAAGACAGTTCAGTCTTAAGTCACTGAAACCACACACGTTGCATTTTAAGCAGAGTGTGGTTTGGCCATGTGACCCAGAAACATTCAAATCGGCCTACGTAGCGAGGTAGCTTCGTTTCGTAGACAGAAGAAGTAATGTGTGTGCCTGTGCCCCCGGTGTCTGTGGGCATCCAGCGGTTTTCCTGCAGACTCCACACACTGGCCCGTTCACAAAACGGTCCCTCCCAGAAAGCGGGCAACGTCTGCAACTTAAAATAGGACCTAAAACCCCACCCATAACATAGGGAAAAGTGCTCCCGACCTGTGTAGCCAGAGGGAAGGCCCCTGAAGCCTTCCCCTTAGTGCGCTCCGCTCCAGGGCCAGCATCGGTGCCACTCCGACCGGGCACTGCCCTCGTCCCCTGACAGCAGGGTGGACGTCAGCGAGCCCGAGTCCTGAACACACTGCCCCGCAGGACTGTGCCTGGAGCCTCACTCGGGGTCAGGCAGAGTCAGGGTGCTGTTGCCTGCAGGGGTCATCCACATCTGGTCACCCGCGCCCTGGCAAGGAGGCTGGGCACAGGGCAGGTAAGGATTTCGGAGGGAGGATGGGGTCCACGCGGTCCTGAGCCTTGGTGGAGTCAGGAAGTGGCCTGGAAGCCCCCAAATTCCTGAAGGAGACGACCTGCCTAAAGGAAGCAAGAGCTCAGCAATGGATTTCGAGGCTTGCGTGGCTTCCCTGGCCGCTGTCCCCGGGCCAGCCCCGGCTGGAGACGCGACATGCAGAGCCCTCTGTATGCACCTGCGTCCCTTGTGCAGCTGGCCCTGCATAAGGTAGAGGAGCACTTAGAGGACGTTCTGTGCAGCACGCAGCCCCCTGGGGTCACTGATGGCATCCACGGCCGCGTGAGCTCCAGGGAAAACCCACAGAGGCCCCTGGGAGGCAAAGAATGCCCCTGGGGGCCCCCTTGGTCACTGAGCCCAGGCTGGGGTCAGAGACCATGTTTCATCTGAACGTCTCTCACAACTTGGACCCCCCACGTGGGTCCTACAGTGTTGTTGCTGATGAGCACCTGAGAGCAAGCTGGCCTGGGGCCTCTGTTCCCAGAGCCCCGGGTCCAAGCAACTGCTTGGGAACTTGCTCAGGAGTGGGGAAGCCTCACAGAGGCTTGAGGACCGCCCACAGGGGCTAATCTCTAGAGATGGGAGACCTGAGGCCTGGAGGGAGAGGCTGGGTCCCTGTCAGTGTCGCTGGCCTGCATTCGCCTCTCGGCTCCCAGGGTTACGAGGTGCCTTGCTGTTAGACCCCTGTGGCCATCAGCCCCACCTACGGGTACCCGCAGGGAAGGACCCAGCTTGGAGTCAGGCCCCAACAAGTGTGCGTGGCCAGCAGGGGAAGCAGGGCCTACAGCCCCCGGCACACAAGCGAGCAGAGGTGCCCTGAGCTACTGTGTGGCTGGTGTGCCTCCCTCAGCCTCCTGGTGTCCAAGCCCTTGTGCACGACCCCGGCAAGCTCTCTGGTCTCTGAGTCTGTACGTGCAGCTGGTGACCATGGGCCTCCCCACCTTTCCTGTTGTGAATGGGTTTACAGAGCTGCGCCCGGTTGTTGGAAGGATGCCTCGGGGTGATGGAGCTGGTGGGTGGGCCTCATCGGGCTTGTCAGAAGCCTGGCTGGGCCACGTGTGGCCAGGGCACTGCCCCAGGGAGGGGTCCCTCCTGGGGACAGGAGGTGTGGTGGGAGCCCCGCTCCATGTGGGTGGTGCTCATGTGTGGGTTCTGCTGGCATCATGGGGACGTTGCTCCCATAAGTGAAATCTGGGGCCCCCTTAGGCAGAATGAGTTCCCAGGGAGCAGTAACCACCTCTGTCTTATGCTTTGGGGCATCCTGCCTCCTGCTCGCATGAGCTTGGGGCTTGGGGGTTTTGAGAGCCCCGATTTAGCAAAATAAGCCTACCCTCTGGACTCCCCCAGCCTTGTGGGGAAATGTCTGAGCTACTGGAAGAGCGACAGGCCCAGCTGGCCCAGCTGGCCTCTCCCTGCCCTGACCTCCTGGTCTTTCGTTAAGCTGAGAAAACCACACTGTCCTCCCCAGCTGCCTCCACTGGGAGGCCTAGTGTATGGTTTGGCTCCTTTCTGCAGCGTCGAGAAATGCGTTCCGTCTGCGCGGTAGCTGCTGCTGGCCGACGGGCTGCGTCAGCCTCCAGGCCACGAGCTCGCACTGCTGGCAGCCAGTCCCTGGCCGGTCGGGCCGCGAGAACCACCACAACACAGGAGCCTCCTGTTCTCATGGGCACCTTGGCCGCTGGGCCCAGCCCTCCACCTGCCGGGGCTCCCGCCGAGCCATCCGTGGGCAGAGGGACGAAACACAGGACAAACACAGCTGCTAGGAGAACCACCAGCACTCATAGCCTGAATTTCCGGTCCCGAGTGGAGGGGAGAGCCCGAGGCGTTGAGGTGGGGGTTGTGAGGGCAGCCCGGCTGGCTCCGGCCAGATACAGTATTTATGGCCGTGCCTCGCGCGTGCGTTATCTGAGGCTTAGATGAGTGGGCACACCCGGACGTGTGAGGCCAGGGACCATCGTAAATGCAGGTTTCTGCCAGACGGTGTGAGCTGCACAAAGAGAGGGTCCCGCATGGGTCTGACGTGGGCCGGCCTCTGCAGCCCAGCCCCAGGGCCAGCCTGGCCTGGACACCTCTCCAGCCCACCGTCCATCTACTTTTTGGACACCCCAGCGCCCTCCTCCCGAGGTGCCTCGAGGACTCATCCCCACCTTCTGTCACATCCTGTCTTAGCATTTCCGTGGATCTGATTTACTCCCCGCTGGATTGTCTGCGCCCCGAGGCTGTGTGCTCCGAATCAGGGTTGGGGTACAGGAAGACATGGCTTCTGGGACGGAGTGCTGTGCCGCCTTGTTCCTGGCCCGCCCCATCCCTTGTGCGGCCCACGCTCCCTCAGTGCCAAGTGCAGACACCAGCGAGGAGGTAGGAGTGTGTGGGATACTGGACATGAGCGAAAGCCTGAAAGAAGGTGTGCCCTCGACCCCATGCCCTCCCCTGCCCTCCGTCCGCCCCCAGAGCACGGGGCCTGTCTGTCAGCTGGGTGGGTTGTTCAACTCGAGTGGGCACTGGCAGCGGTCTGCCTGTGCCCGCAGCTCCTCCCGAGTTTCTGGCCCCATGTTGAGAAAGCCGACGGGACCGCCCGTTCAGGGAGCAGTGACCCTCCCACCCGCCGCTCTGTCCCAGAACACACTGTCTTGGGACGTCGCGTCCTTGTGTGTGAGCGCCGGACAGTCGGACTTTATGTTCTCAGCAGTGAGAGCATCTGCCCTTGGCTTTGCCCATGGCCCGGCCCAGGTTATGGACATGGCTGTGCTGTGCCGCATGGCCTGTCCAGACGGCCTTCTCCCACAGTGTCGCGCACACCCGTATTCACAGCCGCTCTCCTCACACTGGTCGCGGGGGAAGCAGCCCACCACAAGAGGCGGAGGAATGGATAAGAAAACGTATACCCACGCACTGTATAGAAAGGAGTGGTGGACTGACACCTTCCACAGGCTGGAGGGACCTTACCAGCAGGAGAAGCCCACCACAAAAGACCACGTGTTCTGTGAGTCCCGAGGATGTGTCCGGGAGAAACCGGTCCATACAGACGGAAGATTAGTGGTTTCGGGGCCTGGGGGGAGCCACCTCTCTCTGTCATGTTCTGAAATACCGGCACTGATGACCCCCTGCGTGTGTCTTGACTCCTGTCACTAAGGCACCTTTATGTGTTTAAAAATGGCTTTATTTGAGATAGACGCCATATAACTCTGCTGTTCTGAAAATACGGTTCAGATACTTAGTAGAAGCCCTCACCACGGCCCACTTCAGGGACCTCGCTGTCACCTCAGAGGGGTCCCACCTGCCCATCTGCAGCCGATCCCTGTTCCCTGGCCTTCCGCCCCCACTCGCCACCAAGCTGTTTGTTTTGCTTTCCTTGTCCTGCTGTTCATTCAGCAAGAGGAAGAAAGAGTAGGCTGATGATGGAGTTACTGATCTCAGTTCCAGCGCAGGCCACAGTCTGGGTGTTTCTCTGCAGTTTTGTGGGATGATGGGAGCCTTGGTGGGCGTGCAGACGTGCGGGTGCCCCCATGGTGCTCCCAGCACAGGGAGCCGAGCCACTGCCCCAACAGGCGGTCTGTCTGCCCACGCACCCGAGGCCGTCCTGCTGGCTCTTTCCCGATTTATATCCGTGCTCATCTGCCCTCGGTGGCCACCCGAGAATCTTGGAGCGAACCCAAGCGCCAAGTAATGGGGCCTTTTCAGACGCTGGGGGGGACATGCTTGGGGTGTTTGGACACGTTTTCCTGAAGAAAACCATATTCGGGTTATTTGTGGCTCCGACCCCGACTTCCAAGCCCCTCAACCTGGCAGCCTGTCTCCGCAACCATGTGGTGAGCGCAGGGCTGCCCTTAGGGCCCCAGTGTTGGGCCCACTGAACCCTGTCTGGTGGGCTGTCTCCTCACAGATGAGGCGCCGCGTGTACAGAGTTAACAGGTGTCCACAGAGGTGGGGAGGAGTGTGGGCTCCTTCCCCGGGGGGAGGGGGAGGGGGCGGGCGCTTTTTGGGAGCGTCATTCACATGCTGTGGAATCGTGAGTCCATTGCACGAGCGTTTCCTTGATCTTGGAAGTCCGGGAGCAGGAAGGGCCTCACAGGGACGGGCCCTGTCTGTGATGGAAGTAGTCTGGATGCTTCAGGTGACGGGCAGCCCCCGCGTAGCAGAGGTTGGACCCGTGGGGCCTTCCAGCTGGCCGCACATGAGCAGGCCCAGAGGCCACGGGCCAGAGTGCTTTCCACTTCCAGACTCCACCATTCACCAGCGCCTTTTTAGATGGAAACTTTTCCAACGGTTTTTAAAGAGCAGGTATATGGGGCACCTGGGTGGCTCAGTCGTTAAGCATCTGCCTTCAGCTCAGGTCATGATCTCAGGGTCCTGGGATCGAGTCCTGCATTGGGCTCCCTGCTCGGCAGGAAGCCTGCTTCTCCCTCTGCCTCTCTCTCTCTCTTACTTTCATGAATAAATAAAGCATTAAAAAAATAAAAATAAAAAGCAGGTATAATCTTGCAACTGTTTCTTAGTTACCTCTCTAGCCATAGCATTTACGCTTCCTGATACGTAGGACGTTGCATTAAATGTTTGGCTTCACTTGGAGATCAGAAATCCCAGCATGGAGGTGCCCCGTGAACAGCAGCGTGCCGAGCCTTAACTACCCAGAAATCCGGCATCACAGGCCCTCAGCCGGCTACCGTCCTGCGGGTGCCTGGCTCTGCTGGCTCCAGTGTGGCTGCCTGGGGCTGCGCGGGCTTGGCGTGGGCAGCGTGCGTGTGTGCAAGTGCGCGTGTATGTGCGTGCAGGGCGGCACCTGGTGGACTGAGTGGTGGTGTCCGCTGCCGCCGAGGCTGTTTTTGTAAAGGCACAATTTGCTGTGAATTCGGAGAGCCTCGTGGAGTGTGGGCCTGTGTCTGCGGGGAATAGTTTCGGAAGGACACATCCCGTCGGGGATGTGTAGCAGGGTGTCTGCTCTTCAGCAGCTGGTTTGGGGGTGAAAGCCACCGTAGAAGATCACTGAGTCACATCACCGAACGGGACCCACCCAACCCAACCACATCAGCGGTGAAACCTGTGAGAAGCAGCCTCCCGTGGCAGGAACACGGTTCCCCGCGGCCGGGGCCCCGTGGTCAATACTCGGCTGCCCTGCAGAGTGGAGGTCTGCCGACGGCCACTGGGCGGCGCTCCACAAACGCCTGCTCTCCAGGGCTGGAAAGTATTTCGAGTCATGTTTCGTCTGCTAGAGCTCAAGCTGTCCCGCCGCCAGTCTCCCGGCATCTCGGGCGCTGGCGTCTTATTTCATAGGTTCACCTCATGTGAACGGCAGATGAGCCGGGAGAGCCTCTGGTTAAATGGTCTTAAATATCAGGAGAAAGGTTGAGGACACAGTGGGCACTCAACAAAAGCTTTGTCCTCAGGACCCCTGTCTTACACACATACACGATGGACAAAATAAGACATCGTAAAACGTCTTTAAACTGCATATTCTTTATTAAGATAAAATGGGTATCTTCAAATTCTTTCATTCTTAGATGGCTCATTCACTTTTCAACTTTATTGAGAGCTCACTGTGTGCATGGCATGCTGACCTCTTGCAGAGGGGTCAGGACCCCCCCCACACACACAGCTGCTGGAGCCACCAGGACACTCTGTTCTGTCCTCAGCCCCCAGGATGTGGTCAGCAATTTTTAAATTTTTATTCTCCGGGAAGAGTGACGTTTGCAGGAGTTGTAAGGCTCTCTGCTGGCCTTCGTGGCTGGCCTGTGTGGTGGTGTTTGCGGTGCACTCTGCCACCGTACGTGGCCGCGACCGGTCGCCTTACTGTGATTGTAACCCTGAGCCGCAGAGAAACAACTGGAGACGTCAGGGTCTGTAGGACCAGGGGAAATACCGATCTTACGGTAATAAGTTCTGTGCCATTTGCTGATCTACAGCCTATACCCCTGGAAATACACATTTTAAGAATTCCAGAATTGGATAATATATATCAAATAATTTAAATCTTCAAATGTGTGGGTTTTTTCTTTAGCAGGTTTTCCTGCCTCATTTATGTAGAACTTTAGACCAATGGGTGCATCCACGGGAGCAGATTTAACGGATGAGAAATGAAAAAGCCCCCAATTTTCCAACCGATTTTAAATTCAAGAACTGGGCTTGTAACTTAGCGTCTTAATAGTTGATTCCAGGTTTATATCCTTTATCAAGTGCTTTCTATGAGGGAATGGATGTTTGACTCATCGACATGTCTGCCGCAATTAGCGGTACCTCTGGTTTCCTAAGATAAATTCTATAACCTTCATGAAGTTAACCTAAGATTAAACTCACCTTTTGGAATCTTAAACAAGCATGGCAAGATAGATGAGTGTTTGTGGATTAACAAAAATAAGATTAATTTTAAAAGTGTAATTATCAAGATTTTGGTAACAAAATTAATGACCTTGGAATATAAACTTTCACTGGGGGAAGTATAGATTGGTCAATTAAAAAAAATATATATATATATAGGATTGAGTTCACAGTCTACTTTAGCTTTTCCAAATAGCTGCTCATTCTCCTCTCAGCTCAAAATTCTTTCCATTTTTTTTTTTTTTTTTTGGCAACTTGGCAGAAGTGTTGGAAGCTCCCATACCTGGAAGAGAAGGGTTAGGTCACACCAGCTTCACCCGAGATGAATTTAGCACAAGAATGTGGATGAACAAATGTGAAATGGAGAGTAGGTTCTGCAGCATGTGGGTTGGTGGCAGAGGTGTTCCCAGCAGGAAGAAGAGCATGGAGGTGAAGACACGTCTGTGAGACCCGGGGCTGCTGCAAAAGCAGTGGTGGGGGTCTCCGTTAGAGGTCAGGATCTGCACGGGAGACCCAGCCTGCCTCAGGCCTGTGCTTCACCAGGAAGAACTGCCAGGCTGCGACATGCCTCGGGCCCTGTGTCACCAGCACATGTGGGCGCTGGGAAGGGGGAGGGACCCCCGGCGGTCACACAGCTGCTGGAGCCACCAGGACTCTCCGTTCTGTCCTCAGCCCTCAGGCCCCTGGACATCACCAGAAACAAGCTAGTTTGCAACCAGAGCCACTGAGAAATTGAAAACAAATCAGTGATTTTAGGTCCCTCTCCTGTTTGGGGGACCCCAGCTGGGGTGAGAAACTCAAGGGTTGTGGGCAGAGACCCATGTGCCCCTAGCTCTGTGCTCTTGGGATTTCCCTCTCTCCTAGGAGCTTTTTCTCCTCAAGCAAAGAGCAGAACAGATAAGCAAGGAAAAGGGTCTTTTTATTTGAAACAGCAACTGCCACTACAAACCAGCCCACCCGCTGGATCCCGTTTCTGCTAATAATGGTGCTGGCTTCCTGAGCCAGGAGCCTGGCTGTGCATGGTGGACGTTGGCATGACCCCAGCCCCGCCCGCCCGCCCGCCCGCCCGCCCGCCCGCCAGCCGTGGCAGAACTAGAGGTGAAGCAGTAGCAGGCGTGTTGCAGGTGAGAGGTTCTACGGCTGCTGTGCTGGGGCCCGTGCAGCCGCACCGGTCACTCAGCCAACACCAGGCATTCCCAGAGGAGCCGTGGCCTCGGGACTACCCGTCGTGCAGCCCACAGCTTGAGGAGGGTGGAGGGGGTCAGGCCTGAGGCTTTTGGGATTTGAAAAGAAACCCCGGTGCATCTGAAGACCTGGAGCAGCAGAGGGGGGACCCTGTCCTTCAGTAGAAATAGCACGTTCCTGACTGAAGCAACCCAGAAACTTCTCTCATTCTGCCCGGACCTACTGTCAGGGAAGTAGATGGGCCCCACAGAACTGGTCCAGAGTTTCACAGCTACCGGGGGCAAGCGGGACCAGGGCCATGGCATCCAGTGTACTTTCATGATTCTGCACAGGCGGACTCTTAACTCAGTCACATCATCCTAGAGGGGATACATTGTGCAGATAGAAAACCAATGGCAACTAGGTCATGGGCTCAATTTCCCAAGAGACCAGGACCAAATGGAGCAACTTCCCTGCATGGAATGTGGCAGAAAATCGAGCCACACTCTGTTATCCTCAGACCAGATATGTCAGAACTCAGAAGTTTTCAGGTTGTCACAAGTTAGTACATTAATATCTCTCCTACGGGACTAGTATCCAAAATACATATAAAGAACTCCTACAACTCAGTAGCAAAATGAAATCTGATTACGACATGGGGAGAAGGTCAGAATAGACATTTCTCCAAAGAACACATAGATGGCTAACGTGTACATGAAGGTGCTCTGCATCCCTCACCACCGGGGAGATGCACATCAGAACCACAGAGGGAGAGCTCCTCACACCTGTTAGGATGGCCATCATCAAGAAGACGAGATAAGAGCTGGTGAGGATGTGGAGAAAGGGGAACCGTCATGCACCATTGGTGAGAATGCAGACCAGTGCAGCCACTCAGTACAGAGTTTCCTCAAAAGTTAAAAAAAGAGAACTACCCTACGACCTAGTCATCACACTTGTGGGTATTTACCCAAAGGATACAAAACCACCAACTGAAAAGACGTCTGCAGCCCCATGTTCACCCAAGCATTATTCACCATGGCCAAGACACGGAAGCAGCTAAGTGTCCCTCGATGGACGAGTGGACGCGGAAGGTGTGGGGTGTGTGTGTACATAGACACAGAACATACAGTGTGGAACATCAGCCATAAAAAGGAATGAAGCCTGGCCATTTGTGACAACACAGAGGGACCAGTAGGGCACTGTGCTGAGGAAAATGTCAGCCAGAGGAAGGCAAATACCGTATGACCTCACTTATATGGCGGATCTTTGAAAAAACAACCAAGGTCATAGAAACAACAGATTGGTGGGAGAAATGGGTGAAGGGAGTCAAAAGATAACAATAATAAATAAATAAATATGGTGCATTACTGAGCATCGACCAAAAACAAAGCAGGTGTTTTTTTTTCTGGATGCACAACCCTAAAAGCAGGATGGTGTTACCAAATTACCAATTCCAACCCAAGCTATTCCCTCTGTAACTGTAACACTGCAAGGAAACTTCGGTTGAAATATAAACCACATTTTAAGGAATGTGCGTGTTTATAGTCCCTTCAGCAAACAACTTCTGTGGGTCTGTTTTCTGCATGTGCATGCGCGCACACACAGTAACATGCCGTGTGTACTGCACGCTATGGGACAGTGGGCCTGGGGCAGGGCCCCATAATCACACTCCTGTTTCCTCAGAAAAGTGCCCTCCTACCACTTCAGATCAGGGTTTGCTACCAAATGAACTTGCTGCCAACCTGAAAAACAAATCTTCCTGCTTTTCGAGTTTTGTGGATTTCAGAGTTGGAGTTAGGGGCTGCAGGCCTGGGATATGTTGTGGTGGTGTGGGGGACAGGGGGCTTCTGTTCCCACAGTTTTAAAGCAGATGTTTACAGGCCACGGTGTGGAAGGATCCAGGCGCATGCTACTTCTGGCTAAGCAGGTGGGTCTCGGGCTCCCCGCGGCAGCGGCCCCACGCTCCGCGCCTGCGTCAGACGAGGCTCGGTCTTCCAGGCTTGTCTTTCCCCTGGGCAGTCCCTTCCAGTGTCAGCGTTAACCGCCTTTTCCTTTCTTCAGTTTATTTGTATTGTTGAGTTTGGTGCCACGTTGGGGAGTTGGCCTGTACGGCAAAGGCCAGCTGATGTCAGCGGGGAGAGCGGCAGGGGTACTGGGTGCGTTCGGTGGGCAAGGAGAGCTGTGAGCTACTTTACTCTGATTAAGACCAGCCACACCACTGGCTTTCTCCTTCTAAGCATCTTCACGCCACCTGTGTGTGTGACACCGTGCACCTCCTCCATGCGACCCTGCAGCCTCCAAGCCCACCCCCACCCACCCTTCCGACGCGGGTGCTCTTTTGTGTTGCTTCCTTCATTTTCATACTGTTGTGACTTTTCTATCAGATCTCTCTTTATAAACAAAAATAAAGTGAGAGAGGGAACCAAGGATTTTAACAAGACGAAGTATAAATACTGGCTTTTGACTGTCATCACTTTGCTCCGGGGACCCAGTGTGGAGGAGGCCGAGGGCGTGGACCTGGAGGACTGCGCGGTGCACACACCTCGGGCAGAAGGGCTGACACAGCTTTCCTTCACACCAGGCCCCTGTTGCTTTGAACAACATGGCCTTTCTGAACAACAGAAAACTTGGCCAGAACACGCCTTGTGCTGTCCTTTGTTCTTGCCGCAGTGACCTCCTGGGGAAGACAGTGACAAAGTGCCATGCATCCAATTGAAGTGTCAGTCACCTGTCTCCCGGGAGTTGGGAGTGGACCATGCCTGTGGGGCGTGCACCCTCAGCCAACTTCCAGGTGAGCCTGCGGTGAGCATTGATGGCGGCCCCAGGACCGGCTCTCTATGCCATCACCTGCTGGACTGCCACTTGGTCTGGGGAGCAGCTCTGGTGCCCACAGTGCATTTTCTTGATCAGCCGCCGGAGTTTGCTGGGGAAGTTTCTGTTGATGTAGCGGTAAAGAAGTGGCATCACGGAGCTGCTGGAGAAGGCCAGGAATCTCGACAAGTCCTTAGCAAAGAGCAGAATCCCCAGGTGGTGCCCATCCATGGGCTTCCCCCGCAAGGCGAGCAACGTGTGCCCCAGGAGGGTCAGGTAGTGAGGCGTCCAGAGCCCAAACTGCGTGCACACGGTGGCCACCAGAAGCCTGTGCACTGAGGGGTCCAGCCTCCCCGCATCCTGGTCAAGGGGCGTGTCTTCCTTCCGGATCCTTGAGATGAGCGCAAGCGCATAGAGCACGGCCAGGGTGGGGACCAGATACCCAATGAACACCATGATGGCGTCAGCAGCCTCTGTGTCCTGCATCTTGGAGCACTCGACGATCCTGGCCGCCACGTGGCTGCAGATGTAGAACAGCAGGGAGGAGAAGCTGGTGAGCAGGGCCCCGCCCCAGACAAAGCCGCACACGTGCCTGGTGTTGTAGACGCTGGACATGTAGGTGCGTGGCAGAGCCCGCTCGATGTAGTAGTCGAGGCTGAGCAGGGCCGTGGAGTACATGGTCACCAGGGAGGAGACATTGAACAGCACCAGCAGTGTGATGTGGGCCTCGCTGCTGAAGCCCCACAGGGCCCACCCGGAGGCGCTGGGGCCCAGCAGGTGCACGGGTGCCAGGACGCTGAGCACCAGGCCTGCCACGGCCATGTTCACGAAGTAGACGTCGGGCATGGTCATGCTGCTCTGGTCGTACAGGTTGACCAGGACGAGCAGGGCGTTGTAGCCCAGGCCCACGGGGACGCCGATGACCAAGTAGAGCAGAGAGAAGACAGACAGGACCACGTAGAAGTGCTGGCAGAGGAGCTGGTCCTCCATGCTGCCCGTGCCGTTGAGCGGGCCACAGCTCCACATGGCGGCAGCGGCGGGGCTGTGTGGGAGGAAGCAGCGCAACGTTAGACCCAGGCCTGCGGACCCCTCCGAAATGCAGACAGAGGTGGCGCAGGGAGAGAGCCTCGCTCCTTAAACTAGCACAGGACAGTCAGAGACGAAAATTCTGTCCTGAGCACGTGTGTTTCCTGTGAAAGCGAAGGTGCCGTCCCATGGCTGTCCTAAGTCCTGAGCTGGGCCAGCGAGGTCACGATGCTGCACTAATCTTACCGGCCGTGGTGAGTCTCCCTAAGCCTGCTTCTGAGAGAAATCTGAGCAACGGATGATTCGCCCAAGATGCTGCTGGGAAGTCGCTCCCAGCCTGCTTCGTGGCTCCTCCTGGGTCCCGGCTTCTCTGCGCGGGGAGATGGCCACGCTGTAGGACCTCCCCCAACCCCACCGTGCCCTCACCGCTCTGCCTGGGCTACATGGCCTTGAGTCCACGTAACCCTCTCCTGTTCAGCCTCTTCACTGAAAGTGGGCTGGAAAGACAAGTGCCTATGGGGCCAATGGCCCGTCAGCCAGGGCGGCACCTGCACAGCGCTCGGGGCTGCAATGTGTTCTGACGAGGCCTTCCTGTGATAGGGGGACCCTCCACAGCCACCTGGGTGAGAAAAGCAGCCTCTCTGCCGCGCAGGCAGGCCATAGCCTTGCCCGGACCCTTCTCAGCATGCATGGGAATTGTGTACCCGCCTTCCACACCTATGTCTGTGGTCTGGTGGCCAGAGACCCATCCTGTCTCTCGTGCCACCCAGGCTGCACCAGCAGGCGGCACCGCCAACCCCGTGAGCAGGCGCGGGTGCACATGTGGGCAGCTGCACAAGCTGGTGTGTGTGACCGAGGTGCGCCGTGAGCTGAGCTGGGAGAGCAGGAGGCGCTAAGCCAGGCAGGGGAGACTGGAAGTGGGGCTGGCTGCCACGGGCTGAGACGCTCGTGCCCTTCATCCCCACAGGGCCATCGCGGGGTCCCAGTGAGGCCATGTCCACGGGAATTGTCGTGGATCCTGGGGTTCCCTGGGGGGACATGCTCCCTGTGGGGGTGGTGGGGAGGAGCTCCACCCTGCCAAGGCGCCCGTACCCAGAGAGACGGACGGGGTGGGCCTTCGGTCCCAGTGCCCTCACCCAGCCTCGGAGGCAGTGCCCAGGCGGAGTGCAACCCAGTGGCCTGTGTTCTAGCGCTTGGGAGGCCTGGCTACACAGGTGGCCGAGAGAACCCACAATGTGAGGAAAGAACACTCTTCACCAATGTCAGTTCTCTGGAGGAAAACCTTACTTTCCAAACTGTAGTTTGGTCCAACCTGATCTCCTGCTCTCAGAACAAGAAATCCTCTTGGGCAAGCACATACAAAGCAAACATTTGTTTCCCAGGCTTAGGGACAGGGATCAGCCAGCCCCGCTGCCCATGGAGGGGCTCGGGGGCCAGGCCCTGCCCACACCAGCTGCAGGCCAGAGCCTGGCATGGGGGGGGTGAGGGGTGACATTGAGAAAGGACTCTGTGACCAGAGACCTTTACCCACTGTTCTGCCTCGCCCTGCCCCACCCGGGCCAGTGGGGCGATGGGGGGTTAACAGTGAAGGAAATGGGAGGCCGGAGGCCCCCACAACAGGAGTGTGTCTGCACTGGAGTCCCCCAGCATCAGACCACGGTGGGCGGGAGACTGTGCAGACGTCAGGGACGTCAGTCAGTGGGAACGTTTTGAGGTCCTGACGAATGCCACCCAGCAGCCTGCGATGGGTGATGTGTGTCAGACGGTAGCAACACTCAGGGTCGGGCTGGGCGCAGGGCTGGCCGGGCTCCGCCCACACGTGCTGGTTACGTCACTTTTAGAAGTGTTTACCGTTACCCACTGCATGGGCCAGGTCCTAAGGTCTAGACAGTGCTCCTCAGCCTCTGGCCCTGGTGGATGCTCTGCACCCCAGGGGCCAGATGCTGGGGGAGAAGGTGGGAGCCCCGGGGCAGGTGGCGCGCTCCTAGAACACCCGTGCGTCCCACAGCTGAGGCACTGGGTCCCGCAGGGGCTGGGGAGGGGTCCCTTTCATGTCATCTTTAGTTGATTACATGGCCAGTTTCCGCTCTCCTTCTCCTTCCTGAATGCCTCCAGAGCTGGCCGTGGATCTTTCAGTGTGGCCTCTTCTCTGTCCTGAGACTCCGCCGTGCTGAACCGTGGCTCCGACAGTAACCGGGGGGCGGAGGGGGACAGTGAGCAGAGGAGGCTGCAGGAAGCTTGTCTGCCGGACTTCACTGGCCTCGAGTCCCCAGGAAACTACATTCTTGTGGCCACTGTGGACATCTTCCATCCCAGAGCATCCGTCCGTGCCGTGACCAGCTGGGCTCACGTCCTGTCCAAGGACCCGTGGGCTCTGCCTGAGATGTCCCCCCTACTCTCGTGTCCAAGCCTCTTTGCTCATGAGAGGACAGAGACGTGCCCCAGAAAGAAAGGCCCTGCGCCATCATTACAACAGGCCCTGGCTCAAGTGGGGCGCTTGCCCCCAGGAAAGGCTGGGACCCGAGGACCCGCACTCCTGGTCCGACGCAGCCGGTCCTCCTCAGACCTGCCCTGTCGCTTCCCTCCCGCCCTCAGCGCTCCCTGCCGCTGCCTGTCCCTAGCGGCGCCCCAGAGGGGCCCGCAGCCGTGCCCGCGCCTCAGGCTGCTTACCTTTATCCCGACCCCACACGTCTCTGCGCCTGGACCGCAGACCGGTGCGGGAGCGACTCGGCAGCACAGACACCGGAGAGGATCCTGTGTTTCTCTGCAAACAACCCGCCCCCGCCCCCGCGCGCTTATCGGCCGCAGCCTCCCGGCGCTGGCTTCCTGTGCGGCACTCGTGCACACTTTGCGCCCGGCCGGCGAGCACACTGCTTGTTTCCTCCAGCGAGTCACCCCGTGTCTGCCTCCCTTGGCAGACACAGCAGCCCCTCCCTATCTCTGTTTACACCAGTTCCACAGAACGGGGCTCCTGCCCAGTTGCGCCAGGTTCCTTCCCCTCTGCACCCCAGCCTGCACTGAGCTCAGCGATGGGGCAGGTGCGACAAGGCTTGCCCAGAGTCCCCGTGGCCATTCCTGACACCGGGGCGTGGGGCCGTGATGAGTTCCTTTTTTCTCTTGAGCCAGGAAACTGAGAGGCAGCTTAGAACTATAGGCCGCACCAAGTCTCCACGGACAGGGGCACCAAGGGCTCTTGGAAGGGGCGGCCATGGCTGAGGACAGGCTCAGGACTGGCAGGAAGAAGGGCGGGTGGTCTCCCCCGTGTCGCTGGGGCGCACAGAGCTGCCGGCCGTGTCCCCCCAGTCAGGGGCTTGGGGAGCCACTGCCCTGACTGCCTGCGGCTGCCCCGTGGGGCCGCAGGGAAGGGCAGCTGGTGAGCGGCGCGCTGGGCTGAGAGTGGCTCCGTTCTTGGGAAATGGTCACGTGGAGCACAGTCTGTTTAGAATTTCCTTCCCAGTTCTCGTGCTTGTGTGGCCCTGGCTCGCGTGTCGGAGAGGGGCCGTATGTGTGGAGAGCAGGCGGGGGCCGCCAGTGCTGGGTCTTCGGTTGAAATAGGCCCGAGTTTCTGTTTGCTGACAGCTAGTAAATACAGAATTTATCCGCTTTATTTCAAAAGCGGGAGCTCGCGTCTGTGCATAGTTGTTGTGTGCATCGAGTCGGAGGATGCCAACTGTTGGCTTTCTGTCAGCCTGACGATGACAAGCTTTGCTCTTTTGCCCCAGCATTCTTCTGGGGAAGCCAGCGACGAGGAGCCACTTTGTTTTACAAACACGGGCATGTGGTATTTGCCAAAGCAGGAGCGTTCATTCCTGTCTGGGAGGAGGGGGCTGAGAGGCAGGGGAGGGAAGGGAACACCTCGGGGGGAGGCAGGGGCCAGGTGCAGGGGTGATGCCACCATCACTGAGGCCGCTGGATGGCCACGTGCCCACCTCAAGATGGGCTCACCCACGCCCTGTGCAAACCCAACATGGGTCCCTGTGAGCACTGGTGGTGGAGCCCGCTGAGCCTGGGGCTGTGGGCACGTGGCACAGGTGGGCGAGAAGCAGGTGGAGGTACTCAGGAGGCCCAGGGACAGAGACTGCACCCCCAGAACGGCCACGTGTCAGCGGGTCTGGTGAGTGAGCGAACGGTGGTCCTGTCTAACCTTAGTCACAGGCGCTTGGTGAAGCACGCACGGGTCTCGCAGCTGCTGGCTCTCATCATAGCTGACGTTCCAAAAGACACAAGCCGGGGGCGGGGGGGGGGGGCACCATCCTGTGCAGGCTGGGGCCGCTGCCTGTCATTCTGCACCTGGGAGCCAGGCGGATGCCCCCGAGCCCCCAAGCCTGCCCTCCGGAGGACCTCTGGTGGGGGCTGGTCCCGGCCTGCCTTTCTCTGGTTCCTATTTCCTCAGGGTGATCCACTTCCCTTTTGCACACTCTGGTTTTGCAAGTCCAGGAACCTGGGAACAGAAACTTCCCTCCAGGCCTTCTGGGGAGGAGGTGGTCCTGGGAACAATGGTTTGGCTCCCGCCCTCCTGCCCAGGCCTCAGACCACCTTTCCAGCTCCTGAGAAAGAGGAACTTGGAGCGCAGCCGGAGCGGGGTGGGGGAGGCGGGCCATTCCAGGAAGGCTGTCTCTGCAGGGGTGTGCTGGGCTCAGTGCACTCCATGGTGCCCGGCGCACCCCGCTCCACCCCTTCTCATTTGGAAATCTGCCACATTCTTCCCAGACGGCAGGATGGATAATCTAACTTCCAGGGCCCTGTCACCTGCCTTGTCCCCTCAGCGGACGGGGTCAGGGTCATTGAGGACCCCGGTGGGCTTCTCGTCCAAGCTGGCCTTACAAAAGCAGGCCGGGCCTGTCTCCACACCTCCTCCCTAGGACCCCCGGGACCCTCCTCGCCGGAGCTCCCTGCTGCCTCCCTGGCTCCTGGGCCTGCTTCCTCTTCCACGCACCCTCGAGTCTTTTCTAGAAGGGTTTGTTGGCAGAGCTGCCTGGCCTGCTCTGCCCTTCCTGTCCCCACTTCCTGCCCCTCACCAGCTCCCTCAGTGCTGCTGCTGCCCCTCTGCCCCCCTCTACTGGGCCTGCCTCCAGACAGACTTACTGCTGTCGCCTCTCCCACCCCCAGAGCCTCCCCCAAGGTCCACGCAGATCCCTCGTCAGCACCCACAGCAATGGTTGTGCCCACAGCTCTGCAGCAGACAAGGCACCGGGAATGGGGCCAAGCTCCTGTCCTCCCGCCTCACCCCCATGACTGTACTTGGGGCCCCCATGGATTCCCACTCCTGCCAGCCCAGCGTCTCGCCTCAGCTGGGTGCTGCTTCTGTCCCTGAGCCTCTCCCTTCCTGGGTGGGGGCCCAGCCTGCTCCTGGAAGGGCCCCTCACAACCTGAACGTCTTCCCAGAGCACTCTCCTCCCCGGCCCAGATCTCCGTGGGGAGAGGTGACCCACTCACCCTCGAGATCCCTGCTGAGACGGGTCCGTGGTGGCTTCTGTGCGCGTGCTGTGTGTTCTCCCGCGAGCCAGGACTGCCCATCAGCAGAGGTGCACGCAGCAAGGGCGCCCCTAGCACGCGCAGGTGTCCTGCTGCCCGCGTCCACGGGAACGGCAGCAGCAGGACTGCTGGGCCCCCATCTGTGTAGCCGGACATGGGCCTCTGTGGTGACAGAGTAGCGGCCCAGCCCCGGGCCGGTGGGAGGAGCCGCAGGAGGGCCGTGCACAGTCAGGCTGGCCTGTTCCTCGCGGGCACTGGGCATCTTGGCTGGGCCAGAAAAGGGAGGCAGCTCTCCGGGCCAGAGACCTCGCACCTGCTTGGGGTTGTCCGAGATGGAGCCCGCTGTAACTTTCTTCTGGCTTTTTCTATAAAGGTGACTCACGTACCCTCCCTTTCTGAGGGGTTTTGTGTGTGTTTGTTTTGTTTTCTAATTGCAGTCAGAACGAAGAAAGCCTCCACATCAGGAGAACAGGGCCAGTCTTTCAAGTGCCTGCTCCCCTTCCTGGTCCTGTTCCCATGGGATGGAGAGACCAGTATGGCTTGGAGGGCAGCACGGTTCCAGGCCTGTGGGCTGGCGGGCGCCCGAGAGGAGAGCAGATGAGCAGCCAGCCTGGTGGTGGCAGGGAGTAGCTGGCCCACAGGAGGGTGCTGGGCCCCACACCAGGTTAGAGCGCACAGTGGGGCTGGCCTGAGAAATGGCAGCCCCAAGCTCCCCGCCCGGGGCAAGCCCATAGCGACTCAAATTGTCACTGTGTATGCGTCCACAGCTGTGCAGGGCCCCTGTCCTCGAGCTTGGCTGCGCGCACATCCCAGAGAGGGCAGCCTCCAGACAGGCCAGACGTTTCCCTCCAGAAAAGCCTGAGAGGACCCAAAAGCTGAGCTGACATCCCACACATGAGGCTGGCTGTGCGCTGGGAAGCCTTCAGAGGGAACCAAGCTGTGTGGTCACTTCTTCCAATGCGGAGGGATCACCTCTTGGGCCCCAAAAGCCGTACCCTTTAGAGGAGAGCGAGGCTGAGGTTCGCAAGGACAGAGTCTCGTGGTCAAAGCTGGATCCATTTGTGGACTTGGTGGTGTTGCACTGCCGTCCGGGCCTCTGCTGCCTCATGGGGGGCCCTGGGGCCAGCCTGTCAGAAGGGCCTGGTACAGTAGCCGCCTCCCACAGGGCAGGAGAGACCCAGGGAGTGCCGGCCGAGGACAGAGTGAGAGACTGGTGGACGTGCAGGACGTGTCTGAGCGTCCACTGGGAGGCCCCCAGGGGCTGGAGCCCTTTAGGGTTCTCTGCCCCATCCCGGTTCCTAGGGACTTAGCGATTTCCAGGCGCTCTCTCTCTCTCTCCCCTTGGCCCCAGCTGTGTGTCCTCAGCCGGGTGACAGTCCTTGCAGATGCTCTTATGCATAAAAGAAAAGCCATTTTCTTCCAAGATCCCCTCTGGGCTTCAATAATTATATTTCAAGAAGATGCTTTCCTAGACTTGCCAATTTCCAACCCTTGGAGACCTCTTGGCCGCCTCCCGGTCGTGTCGTGCTCTGCTTGAGCTGTGTCGGGAGGCTCTTGGGGCAGGGTTATGGGCTCAGCACGGGAGCGTGGAAGTGCTGGAGAAGGCTGAGAGAAGGGAACCCACAGCTGTCTGACCCGCAGACCCCTGGGCGTGATGGAGGAGGACGTCTGGTGGCCGCGGGTCTGGCCTGAACACCCCTCTGGGCATCTCTCCTTGCTGGCTTGGAAAACCGAGGAGGCACCCTCTGCTCTGGGCCCTGAGCTAGTACTTTGGGGATCTCCGGTTTCTTCCTTATTGGTACCGGCAAACGCCCGAGATGCCAGCTCTGTAGGAGTCACGCAGACACAGCCTTGAGGCCCTGCTGCAAGAGCAGGTGCAGGCCTGGTCCCCGGTGGCTGACCAGTGAACCAGCACGCGGGCAGAGAGGGCCCTGCAGGCCACGGGTTTGGAGGGGAGGCCTGTGCGTGGGAGGCCAGGCCACAGGGAAGATGAGCTGACAGGAAAGCTGGGAACAGAGACAGGCCACACCTCTGCTCAGCAGCCTGAGGAGCCCTGAAAAACCAGGAGGGGCCGTTGTCCCAAGCAGCAGGGGTGGTGCCCGTGTTAGGAGCTGCCAGGCCTGGGTGATGGAGGGGGACAGACGGGGACAGGTGCACAGTGGGGCCTCGGTGCGTCCTGGGACACCAGTCCTCAGTGGCTTTCCTACTTTGAGGAAGCGGCTCTGAGTTCAGGCACTGCCTTGAACCCTGGCCTGCCTCATTCTACCCTACGCGGGGGAGCCCTGAAACAGGACCTCGGCAGTGAAGGTGGCTGCTCACACGGACACTCCCGCCTTGCAGAGGGAGTGGGGCTAGCAACCTGTGAACTGGCGCAACACACCGTCAGGAAAGGTGCACGTGCCCCAAATTTTGGGGAGTGTCCACCTAGTTGAAAATTCCGTCTCCGGAGCCTTCTGCCAGGACTGGTGCCCAGGCTTACTGCTTACCCAACCGGGGGGCGCTGGTTAGGCGGGTAACGTACTACCTCAGTTTCTCCAGCTTAGGAGACTCTCATGTGACTGCTGGGGGATTAGGTGGATCCAGCTGTGTGGAGCACGGCAGGGTGAGCCTCAGCGAGTCCCTGGTGGGTGGACGAGGAGGGTGCACGCACAGAATCTGCCACCTGACACATGGGAAGAGGAGACCGACAGGAAGGGAGGTATGGGGACGTGAGCTCCAGTCACGAGCCTAGTGCCAGCTGTCAGGGGGGAGTCGGGGAGGGTGGGGAGAGGAGCAAGCTCCAGACCCTCGCCACACGCATGGACCGTCCCCATCACAGAGGCTTCCTGAAGCTTAAAGGCTTTGTGGCCAACAACACAAACAGCGCATTTCCTGGTGCTGCGCTCACGTTACACTGGGGCATGAATGTGTGCTTCCCTCGCCTGTGTTCACAGCACGCAAAGAAGGGGGCCGGGGGAGAGAGCAGCTCTGGGCCCGTTCTTTTCCCATCCTAACACGGGAGGATTCGGGGAGCCCTTTCTGCAGCGACACTCCCTCCTCTTCCCTGCTGGCAAGGCCCACACTGCTGTTAGGCTGCCTGTTAGAAGCATTTTGAGGCAGGACATCGATGGCTTTCTTTCTGTGCCTTTTCAAAAAAGAGCCCCAAATGGTATAAACCAGCTCATTAAAAGTGCATGTCTGTAAGCAATGAAAATGAACTTTGCTAAAATCCAGGGCTAAAGTAAATGGCGGTCTCTGTGCAAACAGGATGCCCGGAGTGGGTCGCAGCAGGAGTCTGGGCGGGGCGGGGGGGGGGCGCTGTGCAGACACGGGAGCAGGCTGCCGCTGGGGTGGGTGGGGGTCACGCCTCCTGGGAGTCCTGCGGGTGCGTGTGCTCGGGCATGTCCACGCACAGAGCCCACAGAGATGAAAGACCAGCAAAAAGGAATCAGCCTGTTCCAAGGTAGCTGAGCTGGTTTCACTAAAACGTTACCCTTATTTCCTTGCTCTGTTAATCAGGAAATCCTGTCCTCTGGTGTTGGGGGCCCCACTGGTGCTGGGCCTCCTGCCCGACCCCCCCCCTCCCCCACCGCCCACACTGGGGCAGGGCGGGGGTGCACACACTGATCCCTTGCCTGGACTGCCTTTCCTCGATTCCTCCCATTCACTTGACAAGTGCTAACTCACCCCTGAAGTTTTATTTTGGCATCAGCACCCTGAGGAGCCCTCCCTGACCGCTGTCCCCACCCCCTTCCAGCCAGTCCTGCTGCAGCCCTCTCTTTGCCACCTGCTGAGAGCTTTCTGAATAGGGGGAGAGGGCTCTTGATTCCTGCCAGAAGCCTGGCTGGCTCTGGGGAGGAGGATCATTAGGTCATATCAGAGGCTATTCCCCAAGGTGAGCAATAGACCCCATGCAGCAGAAGGGGTAGCAGAGAGTGGCAGCGCCTCTTGTCGCCGGGAGATCTGGGTGTGGGCACGGGGCTGTGGGGCCCAGGCAGTGCACCCTGAGTGGGCAGACAGCTCAGCCTGGCTGACGGTCTTGTGGGTTGTTTCTGTTTGATGTAGACCCGCTGTGCACCATGAGACTCAACTTCAGATGAATGTTCTAGAACAATCAGCTTTGAGAGTGACTCCTGAATGTTTATTTCCTTTTGTAATAATGGGCAGAGGCTTTAGCTACAATTAACATCCAGCTGGTAGGAGCCAGACACTCCGGAAAGGCTGGTGTTTTCATAGGTTTTTCAATGTAGAGAGCTTACGCATACTGATTCCTATCACAAATGCTGTGCCTTCCTGGGGTGTGATAAGAAACTGTTCGTTATATAGATGGGTTGTTTTGATTTTTATAGGCTTTTGCTTTTTACAGTTCTAAATTGCAGAGTAGTGAGTGAACCAAGCAACCTGGCTCAGACGCATAAACAAAGAGCAGCCTCTCTTTCTCCGTGGAAGAGAACAGGCATGTTTGCTGGCTCAGGAAGGGCTGCCGGGGACTGAGACCAAGCAGTCAGGTCCGGGCCGGCAAGGCGCCTGTGCCAGGCCACCGGCTTCCTTCCCTGGAAGGAGACATGGGACACACGCTCTTTTGTCAATGCAGCACTAGTTTCTTGGGCTTTTCTGTTCTCGGACTAACTTGGTTTGAGGCTAGTGCTCCTTCCAGGCCAGGGGAAAACAGAAACTAAAAGACTGACTCAGAAATTCAAGGGGCTGAGAATAGATCGGGTCTCCATTTCAGACTCTGGGCAGGCCTGGCACCTCAGCCAGGCTCCCTGATCTCCCCCCAGCCTTTAACTGGGTGTGCTCTTACCTGGGCGGCCGGGGGGTGGGGTGGGGAGGGTGGGGGGGGTGGTGGCGCTCAGAGCCACTCATCAGCGCCTGTGGTTCTTTCCCAGGGAGGAACCGCTGGTTATTTTTACTCATCACAGTTGCTTCCTCAGTTTGCTGGGTTCTAATTAAAACTGGGAAGCTCCTGGGTACACCCCTACTGGCATGTATGGGAGGAAAGGGACCCAGGGTGGGCCTGTTGGGGGACTCACAGGACACCTGGCCCATCTCACCCTGTCCTGCGATGTGAGGGATGTTGTGTTTGCACACGGAGGCTCCCAGGGGACTGAACTCTGTTCCCCAGCACCATGATATTTTGGCATCTCAAATTAGAAGATCAGCCTTTTTCTTATCTAGACTGAGTCCCCTGCCTGGGTGGTATTTTGGGTCGTAGGTCTGTGAGACCCCTGTGGGCAGGTGCAGCCTGATGCTACACAGTTTTACAAGTGGCTTTAGCCTTAGAGCCAACAGCAAGCAAGGGGAAATGACAGGAAACACTGTTTAAGGAAGAAGGAGCATGATTTGTCATGTGTGCTAACGCAGAGGCCCCAGTTCTCTGGAAGGGAACTCACCCACCCCCGCACCACCACCGCCCCGTCCCACTGCCACCCCCAAGACACTGCCCTGGTACGTTTTTGGGTCACAAGAGGCCAGGTGACAGTTATGTTTTCAGGATTCCAAATGACATCCGAGGGACGCGAGATGGATGCAGCTGCCCCAGGAGCCCCCTCCCCTCCCCAGGAGGCAGCAGGGCCCTCTTCCCACCTGTAAATCACACAGGCATATTTCCCAGCAGTGATCTCTGTAAGTATGTCACCTTCTCATTATATAATAGGTATAAATCAGTCTTCACATCCCAACCTAAAAGCCTGTATGACCCACATTAAGTGGATATACCTTGCGTGTCATCGACCTACCGTGGGCTTTGAGTTCCACGCTGACATTTATGTTCTGCCCTAAGGCTGTGCTTTTCCATCCTCAGGGTATTTCCACACTCACTAGAGAGGCAGGACACCGCATGGTCAAAGAGCTGTGTGTGGCCCTGGGTGAAGGGCTTACTGCTCCAGCCCCAGCCTCCTATGTGTGACGGGCCTGGTAAGCACTGACCACATGCAAGCTACTTATCTGAGGCCTGCTTCGTTCAGGAAGATAGCAGAGGCTCTGGTTTGGACAGCCGGGCCCCATAGCAGTTCCTCACCGAGCTATGCCACGGGTCCTAGACAGTGGCTGTCCACTAAGTGTCATTTTCACTCGGCGGTGCCCCAGCTAGACCCAGTCAGGACAGTGGAGGATCTGGTCACCATTATGCATGGTCAGAGCCACTTTCCTCATACCCTTGTATTTGCAGGGGTCTGTGAAGCCAGCAAAAGTCTTTTGCAATTGCATGCTAACCTCTGCTAGAGGCTGAAGATAGGGGCTGCTGGGCTGAAATAGGGAGCTTGTTACTTAGAGCTGGATTGGAGACCTCAAAGGACATCAGAGGGATAAATGGTGCTCTGGACATCAAATGTACAATCACCCTCAGGCCCTCCACATCTGGGCAGGGCAGAGACTAGGTAGATGACCACAAGCAGATGAATGCCCAGCTTAGAGACCGGAGTTAAGGTGTTTCTTGTTGCTAGGAGAGTGGGTGTTCAAAGGCTGGGGGTCACTGCCTTCCTATGAAGTTTCGCAGAAGCCTTTCCATGCACAGGGAATTTTATATTTTTACCAAGTGTCCAAGACAGTTAACAACAGACTTGCTGTCTACATTTAGATGTAGTTCCCTAACTTACTAAAAATTGTGCAATCATAAAGAGGAGGAAAGCTATAAGCATGCTGACCCTGGAGAACGCGGTCAGCCTCCCCCCCCCCCCCCCC